CAAGGCCGCAGGGCCAGACGGATTACCAGGACGTGTACTCCGAGCATGTGCTGACCAACTGGCAAGTGTCTTCACTGACATTTTCAACATGTCCCTGACTGAGTCTGTAATACCAACATGTTTCAAGCAGACCACCATAGTCCCCGTGCCCAAGAACTCTAAGATAACCTGCCTAAATGACTACCGACCCGTAGCACTGACGTCTGTAGCCATGAAGTGCTTTGAAAGACTGGTCATGGCTCACATCAACAGCATAATCCCAGAAACCCTAGACCCACTCCAATTTGCATACCGCCCCAACAGATCCACAGATGATGCAATCTCTATCGCACTCCACACTGCCCTTTCCCACCTGGACAAGAGGAACACCTACGTGAGAATGCTATTCATTGACTACAGCTCACCATTCAACACCATAGTGCCCTCTAAGCTCATCACTAAGCTAAGGATCCTGGGACTAAACACCTCCCTCTGCAACTGGATCCTGGACTTCCTGACGGGCCGCCCCCAGGTGGTAAGGGTAGGTAACAACACATCTGCCACACTGATCCTCAACACGGGGGCCCCTCAGGGGTGCGTGCTCAGTCCCCTCCTGTACTCTCTGTTCACCCATGACTGCATGGCCAGGCACGACTCCAACACCATCATTAAGTTTGCCGACGACACAACAGTGGTAGGCCTGATCACCGACAACGATGAGACAGCCTATAGGGAGGAGGTCAGAGATCTGGCCGTGTGGTGCCAGGACAACAACCTCTCCCTCAACGTGACCAAGACAAAGGAGATGATTGTGGACTACAGGAAAAAAAAGAGGACTGAGCACGCCCCCATTCTCATCGACGGGGCTGTAGTGGAACAGGTTGAGAGCTTCAAGTTCCTTGGTGTCCACATCACCAACGAACTATCATGGTCCAAACACACCAAGACAGTCGTGAAGAGGGCACGACAAAGCCTATTCCCCCTCAGGAGACTAAAAAGATTTGGCATGGGTCCTCAGATCCTCAAAAAATTCTACAGCTGCACCATCGAGAGCATCCTGACTGGTTGCATCACCGCCTGGTATGGCAACTGCTTGGCCTCCGACCGCAAGGCACTACAGAGGGTAGTGCGTACGGCCCAGTACATCACTGGGGCAAAGCTTCCTGCCATCCAGGACCTCTATACCAGGCGGTGTCAGAGGAAGGCCCTCAAAATTGTCAAAGACTCCAGCCACCCTAGTCATAGACTGTTCTCTCTGCTACCGCACGGCAAGCGGTACCGGAGTGCCAAGTCTAGGTCCAAAAGACTTCTCAACAGCTACTACCCCCAAGCCATAAGACTCCTGAACAGCTAATCATGGCTACCCGGACTATTTGCACTGCCCCCCCACCCCATCCTTTTTACGCTGCTGCTACTCTGTTAAGTATTTATGCATAGTCACTTTAACTCTACCCACATGTACATATTACAGTAATCCCTCGTTTATCGCGGGGGTTACGTTCCGAAAATGACCCGCGATAAGTGAAATCCGCGAAATAGAAAACTTTTTTTTTTTACAATTAGCAACTATTACATGTATACAAATACAGTGACTCACGTGTAGGCCGTTTCACTGCTCTTCAGACTGGGCCGCTGCATCCTGACTGCGCTCTGCAGTGTTCTCTTTTTTCCTCCTTCTTTATGTAACGAACGGAAGATTCATTGATTCCGTAATGGCGAGCAACGGCTGCATAGCTTTTACCTTCCCTTAGCATGTCCAGAAGTTTAACTTTATCTGAGATAGGTAGCATCTTCCGCCGTTTGGGCCCATCCGCAGGTGCTTTTGTCGGTCCAGGCCGTTTCGTCGACATTATGGGTTTAGGAGATGTTCGAAATTACAAGATAATTTGGCCAACTTAATGTAAATTTGCCAAGCTGTTTTATGTACGTACACATAACTGCACGAGACGACAAAATGATAGCACAATTCGTAGCATGTTTTGATACAAGAAGCGGGAGTGAGTTTTTAGCGAATCAGAATGCAGAGCACAATGCACCAAAAAAAAAAAAATGCATTATGAAAATCCGCGAAATAGCGAATCCGCGATAAGTGAACCGCGAAGTGGCGAGGGATCACTGTACCTCAACTACCTCAACTAGCCGGTGCCCCCGCACATTGACTCTGCAACGGTACCCCCCTGTATATATAGCCTCCCTACTGTCACTTTATTTTACTTCTGCTCTTTTTTTCTCAACACTTTTTTTGTTATTGTTTTTATTCTTACTTTTTTTGTTTAAAATAAATGCACTGTTGGTTAAGGGCTGTAAGTAAGCATTTCACTGTAATGTCTGCATCTGTTGTATTCGGCGCATGTGACCAATAAAATTTGATTTGATTTGATACTGACTGGTTTTCTGATCCAAACCCCTACCTTAAAAAAAAAATACAAAAAAGGCATATGTGTCCAAAAGATGCATATCTGTAATCCCAGTCACGTGAAAGCCATAGATTAAGGCCTAATGAATTTATTTCAATTGACTGATTTACTAATATGAACTGTAGCTCAGTGAAATCTTTGAATTTGTTGCATGTTGCGTTTATATTTTTGTTCGGTGTACATTGAACACAGCAGCTTTTCGGCATGTTAAGTTATTAATGTATAACAAAAAAATCAACTATGAAGTTGGCTCTTTTACAATGGGGGTCAATTTAAAATAATGTTTGTTTTCCCCAATTTGCGGACGTGGTCGAGGGGAATTCCTCGTGAATATCGACTCGGAGTATGTGTGTAATAATTTAAACAACTCAAAAGTAGAAAAGTTGTAGTGACCTACGTTGATGTTGATTAACAGCAGATTGAATAAATTCCCAACATACTGCATCTGAACAGCAGATGGCGCCAAATAGCATTAATTTTATGAATCTACAAATCTCATTCAATAATGGCCCAGTATCTTTGAACACACCAATCAAAAGGGTGTACACATTGTGGGTTTGACAGATTCAGACATGGCTTGGATGAGCTGAAAATACCTTTCTGTAAATAACGGACAGGATAGACACCAGAGGATGGAATGTGTGTTTCTTTATTTCGCCCAAATCACTCAGAACAAAACAATTCACCTGGCCATGAGCCATGCTTCCTTCCATGTACTGTGATACACCTGGAAGTGTCTATCCAAGAGACTCCAGAAAGCAGGACCCAGATATTCCACACCTCTTTAACAGCACAGGTCAGCTAATCCCTGAGACAACAATTATGTCAGCTGGCCAGAGCAACACACACATTCACTCACACATGCAAGTATGTTCTGCAAGCATGCACACTCACGCAGATACATATGCACACACAACATGGGTGTGTACAAGCAGTTGCAGATAACACGCGCACACACACACTTGCAGGTCAGTCACTCAGAGAGGGGTGGACTCGTCTTGGAGTGGCATGGTGTTAGGTCTGGAAATAAATGCAGCCTTGAGAAGAGGGCAGTGGAGAAACCCTGTCAAGCCTACAGGATTCATGCTGCATCTCAGTAGTACACAGTGGCATCCTTCCTCTCCTCCATCTGCACTCATCTCAACTCATAAGATTGGGGATAGATGCAGTTCTTTAAAGGAAACAAGGAGAGAAAGCCACTTTAGACTGTTAGGATGCACCCAGTCTCCCTTCAGAACAGGGCCTGTGTTCAACAAGAGTTTCATAGTAGGAGTCCTGATCTAGGATCAGGTTAACCCCGGTCCATGTAAACTGAATCAATCAATAGCCTTATGAGCTAAAAGACAACTGATCCTAGAGTAGCACTCCTACTCCCGAGACGCTTTATGAATATGGGCCCAGGTGAAGAGATCATATGGGCTGTTCTGCAGAGAAAATTAAGCTAAATGACACAAACTGATATATCAAACGTAATATTATTTTGCAGAGGCTTTTAACCAAATCGCCTTGTATATGGCCCATGCAAGAATCATTCAAACACAATTTAAGCGCATAATGTGTGTATGGCTCAATGATAGGATGCAGGCAGTATACGGAGAGTGAGGAGGTTATGAGAATAATATATGCTCATGTCAAGGGTCAAAAAGTTTATCTTTCACATTACAGACATAACAGAGAAAGACTCCCTGTTGTTGTCAGCAATCATTACATAAGAATCAGAATGAAGACAACATTACAGTGCATTATGTGTACAGGCCAGACTGAGGAAGAATCATCACGCAACACTGAGCTAACACATTTCATTCCCTTTTCTACTGCTTAGCTAGACACACGAGATAAGGCCCGTATGTCTGCAGCTTTAAATCAGGTTAACATGAAACCAGAAAACAGTCACAGATATCAAACTAAAGCTTTCCCTTGAGAAAAAACTATTGAACGTTCCCTTGAGAAAAAAATGGAATGTTTGTTTTGTGCGTGGATATCCTGGGAGAGAATGGAATGGAGCGAGATGGAATAGCTATGACACCAGATATGTATATATGTAATGCTCTACAGGTAGTGAATATGTGACGTGTGTGTGATCAGTGTCTGGACCTTAACACACCTGACACACACATCAGAGGAAAACACACACCTGGGGGGCGCATTCAGCAGGACGGAACGTTTTGGAAATTCAGATAGAAATATGCGATGTAGAACAAATATGCCTCTAACATGTTAAGTATAGAATCACGTCGGCTCTATTCGTGGTATTTCTATCTGTAACTCTCAACAACATTTGGCTACGGAACGTGGCCCTGGTTGAATAAATATGTCCCATATGATATGAGTGAGATTATGAGATGAGCTCTATCTTCTGACGGAATGAGAGAGTATGAGTGTGTGTGGATGTGGATGTGTCAGGTCACACTGCTCAGAGAGAGGAGGAGCAGGCTCAGCCCTGCCAGACACACTGTACCCAGCGTTTGCATTGCACCAGCAACACAATAAAACAACAACAACAACATGAAACAATAATCAACACACCTAAAACCAGAATGATAAAAGACTTCACATGTTAGGGGATATCTTTGCTAGAGTTAGCCGTTGATCGCTAACGTCGGCTCAGATCTGCAGCACCAGTCCTGCGGCAGAGATGTTGTCCCCTCCCCCCGCAGTCTGGTAAACATCGGTGCACACCAGGTTGGGCGCCACACAGATCTCATAGTCGTCCTCGTCCCAGCAGCTGACGGGCCTGGTCTCCTCTAGAGGGATCCGCTGGCTGCCCTCCTGCCGGCTCACAGAGAATGACTCGTCCATGATGAGGCGCGCCTTGCTGGGGTCGATGTCCGGCGAGCCACACACGTGGCGGTTGGCTGTAAGCGAGGCCTTGGCCACGGCCGACATGGTGTTCTTCCACTGGGAGCCGCGCGTCACGATCATGGCCTGGAACGCCAGGGTGTGCACGTGGAGCCGGGACAGCGGCCGGCCTTTAGCGGCAGCTGCATTAGCGTCCACGCCGCTATCCTCATTAGCGTTGCGGTAGCGCTGGTTGACCAGGCGGTAGAGCTCCCTCATCTGGTCCAGGACGGTAGCAACGCGGGGGTTGGGGTCAGACAGTACGGTGACGTTAGAGCCCCTCAACAGGCTGAGCAGGTTGGGCAGCTCCTGCTCGTTCATCCCCAGGGAGTCGGCATTGGGCAGGACCAGAAGGAGCAGGTCCCCCATTAGACCCTCGTCCACAAAGCTGGCCATCTCAAAATGGACGCCCGTCCGAGGGGAGGAGGAGGAGAGGAGATTGCCCAGCCGAGAGAGCAGGGTTTTCCGCTCACCTGAAGAGAGAGAGAGAGAGAGAGAGAGAGAGAGAGAGAGAGAGAGAGAGAGAGAGAGAGAGACAGAGAGACAGAGAGACAGAGAGACAGAGAGACAGAGAGAGAGAGAGAGAGAGAATTTATCCAAAGTAGTTCAACCAGTCTGACAGAAACAAAGGCCTGTTAACACAGCATTGGATCCACCCCAACACACAAACACTCCCGGTATGTGCTTTCCCACGCCAACTGAGGGCCAGTGGCCTGTGTGTCTGAGGCTACAGAGCTACTATATAGAGGCAGGCATGGTTAATCCCCTTTAATACCAACAGTCTCCACATCACTGGAAACCAACCCTCCCCTCTCCCTCACAGCAACACAAACCACTAAAATACGAACAGTATGTTACTCAATGGGAACCAGCTCTGCTCTGAAAACACCTCCGGGCCAGTATCCACAAAGCCTCTCAGAGTAGGAGTGCTGATCTAGGATCAGGTCCACACCTGTCCATGTAATCTTATTCATTATGATCTAAAAGATAAAGCTGATCCTAGAATAGCACTCCTACTCAAGGCTATTGGAGACTGAGCTCAGTGGCGGACAAGGTCTGCGAAGTATCCTCTCACCCTGTCGGAAGGGGAAGCTGTCCATCATTTGGAGCCCGCCCATCACCAGCAGGTCAGGGTGGAACTCCTGCAGCTTATCCTCAAAGTCCTGCAGCGACGCCAGGTATGGGTTATGGTCATCACTGTGGACAATGTACCTGGACACACACACACAAACACAGGCCAGTGACACAGGGCAATGGTCATAATGGACTATATTACAGGTACTTCAGGCCTCACATTTTCGGGCATCAACACCCTTGTGTGGCCATAATGTCCCCTAAAAAAAAATCTATGCCTTGAGGCTAAAGTGGCCGTTGTGCCCTTGGACTGAATATAATAATGAATGCCCTTCTCCCGGCTGCCAATCGCTGTGCTCCGAAGCACCTCTCACTCACATGGCTCTCTCAGATATCTCAATTCGTATTAGCCAATGCCCGTCACGTGATCGGATCCTTCTCACAGGCATTGCAGCTCCGAAGTAGGCTACAAGTGAAGACAGACACATCGGGGATGCAACGGCACGCGCATTTCTTATCCAATTCCGAGGCGCATATTGTAGATGTTAGAAGAACTGTCCACGTTTACTTTTCCTCAGCCAACAAGATGAGTAATGAACAGCAAAAGCACTAGCCTATGTCAATCTACTATCCCCCATAGTACAAAAGTTGACATATTCTATTGGTCAGCTTGTCGTTCTGTGCGAGAAATAAATATTCCAAACATACTCTGGGAAAAATTGGGGATATAAAATTTCCAAAAATTTTAAAATTCATAAAAAAACAATGGGTTGGAAAAAAAAAATTTATTTTTTGTTATATATTTAATTTAAAACCCCTACCCAATAGTGGTAAGGGGGAAAAAATTTCTTCCGGGAAACCCCCTTTAAAAAGGGAAAAAACGCCCCGTTTATTTTTACAAAATGAAAATTTCGAAAAAGGAAGGGAAACTCATAACCAAACAAAAGGGGAAAAATAGGGTTGCTTTCCTGGCCAAAAAAAATGAGAAAAAATTAAAATGGTTTCTCTTTTTTTTTCCCGTAAAATTTGGTCGGGGAAAAAAAAGACACCCCCGCCCCCCCCCGGTTTTAACAAAAGTTTTTTGAAGTTTTTTATGCCCCCGCCGATTGAAATGGGTTTTGATCACAAACAGGCCCCTTTTTTTTTTAAAAAAACTGCCTAAAATTTTGGGAAAAAATTTTTTTTTTTTTTAAAAGGGGGGAATCAGTTTAAAAACCCCAATTTTTTTGAGGCCAAAGGGGGGGGGAAACCCGGGGCCCTTGTTTCCCCCCCAGGGTTTTTCCTGGGTTTTGATCACCTTTGGGGGGATGGTTTTAAAAGCCCGGGCCCCCCCCCCTCGGCAGGTTTAGAAAAAAATAAAAGTCTGGGGGGAAAAAAACCCCCAGTTGGAAAAAAACCCCCAAAAAAATAGAGACCTAATTTTTTGGAAGCCTTAAAAAAAAAAATTTTTCTCAAAAAACGAGGTTTTTTGAATTTATTTGAAATTTTTAAAAAAAGGGCCCAAAAAATTTTTTTAAACTTTTTTAAAACCCCTTTGTTTTAAGAACCCAAACCCCTTTAATTTCACAAGGCCCCCCCTGTTGTGGGGGGCCCAATTTCCCAAACCCCAAAAGGGTTTTTGGGGGGGGGGGAACCACTTTCAAATCCCTTTAAAAATTTTCAAGGGGTTAAACTGGGGTGGTGGACTAGGACCTAAAACTTTTCAAAAACCTTTTTGCCAAATTTTTTTGGGGTTTTTGAGGGCCCGCACGTTTCCTAACCCCCCATAAATTTTCATAAAATTTAAAATACTGGCCCCTTCTTTTTTTTTTAAGGTATTTTGGTTTTTGCAAAAAAAACCCCCCATATGCCCCCCTGCCTTCCCGATTGGGCTTTGGACAACTCCCCTTTTTTTTCCCCAGACATTGAAACCCCAAAATTTTAAAAAAAAAATTTTCCATAAACTTTTCCCCCCTTTTTTTTTTTTTTTTTTTTTTTCTTTTTTTCCCCCTTTTTTTTTATTTTTTTTTTTGGGGCCCGTTGGGAAAAAAAATTTCCCCTGTTTTTGGGGGTTTTCATTTTTTTTGGGGGGGGGGAAGGGGGCCGGGGGGAAAAAGGGGGCCGGGGGGTGGTTTTTTTAAAAAAAGCCCCCTTTTTTCCCCGCCCACCAATGTCCCCCCTGGGGGGTTTTTTTCCCCCCCTTCTTGGCAAAGGGAAAGTTTTAAATTTTTACCCAACTTCATTCAGACGGGCCTGGACATGTACTGGCTTACGCAGGGGGGGGCACACGTTTCTGGCACTGCAAGTATTTGAGTCCCTGGCGGGCGTATGTTGGTGTTAACTGATGGTAGGCGTTTGTTACTACTTTGGTCCCCGCTCTCTGCAGGGTCATTCACTAGGTCCCCCCGTGTGGTTCTGGGATTTTTGCTCACCGTTCTTGTGATCATTTTGACCCCACGGGGTGAGATCTTGTGTGGAGCCCCAGATCGAGGGAGATTATCAGTGGTCTTGTATGTCTTCCATTTCCTAATAATTGCTCCCACAGTTGATTTCTTCAAACCAAGCTGCTTACCTATTGCAGATTCAGTCTTCCCAGCCTGGTGCAGGTCTACAATTTTATTTCTGGTGTCCTTTGACAGCTCTTTGGTCTTGGCCATAGTGGAGTTTGGAGTGTGACTGTTTGAGGTTGTGGACAGGTGTATTTTATACTGATAACAAGTTCAAACAGGTGCCATTAATACAGGTAACGAGTGGAGGACAGAGGAGCCTCTTAAAGAAGAAGTTAAAGGTCTGTGAGAGCCAGAAATCTTGCTTGTTTGTAGGTGACCAAATACTTATTTTCCACCATAATTTGCAAATAAATTCATAAAAAATCCTACAATGTGATTTTCTGTAGAAAAAAAAATCTCATTTTGTCTGTCATAGTTGATGTGTACCTATGATGAAAATTACAGGCCTCTCTCATCTTTTTAAGTGGGAGAACTTGCACAATAGGTGGCTGACTAAATACTTTTTTTCCCCCCACTGTATGTGGACACCCCTTCAAATTAGTAGATTTGGCTATTCCAGCCACACCCGTTGATGACAGGTGTAAAATAATCGTGCACACAGCCATGCAAACTCCATAGACCAACATTGGCAGTAGAGGGGCCTTACTGAAGAGCTCAGTGACTTTCAACGTGGCACCGTCATAGGAGGCCACCTTTCCAACAAGTCAGTTTGTCAAATTTCTGCCCTTCTAAGAGCTGCCTCGGTCAACTGTAAGTGCTGTTATTGTGAAGTGGAAACGTCTAGGAGCAACAACGGCTCAGCCACGAAGTGGTAGGACACACAAGCTCACAGAACGGGACCGAAGAGTGCTGAAGCGCGTAGTGTGTAAAAATCATGCGTCTTCGGTTGCAACACTCACTACCGAGCTCCAAACTGCCTCTGGAAGCAACGTCAGCACAAGTAACTGTTCGTTGGGAGCTTCATGAAATGGGTTTCCATGGCTGAGCAGCCGCACACAAGCCTAAGATCACCATGTGCCAAGAGTAGGCTGGTGTGGTGTAAATGCCAAGAGTCGGCTGGTGTGGTGTAAAGCTCGCCGCCATTGGACTTTGGAGCAGTGGAAGCGCGTTCTCTGGAGTGATGAATCACGCTTCACTATCTGGTAGTCCGACGGACAAATCTGGGTTTGGCGGATGCCAGGAGAACATTACCTGCCCCAATGCATAGTGACAAATGTAAAGTTTAGTGGAGGAGGAATAATGGTCTGGGGCTGTTTTTCATGGTTCGGGCTAGGCCCCTTAGTTCCAGTGAAGGGAAATCTAAACGCTACAGCATACAATGACATTCTAGACGACTCTGCTTCCAACTTTGTTTGGGGAAGGCCCTTTCCTTTTTCAGCATGACAATGCACCCGTGCACAAAGCGAGGTCCATACAGAAATGGTTTGTCAAGATCGGTGTGGAACAACTTGACTGGCCTGCACAGAGCCCTGACCTCAACCCCATCGAACACCTTTGGGATGAATTGGAACGCCGACTGCAAGCCAGGCTTAATCGCCCAACATCAGTGCCCAACCTCACTAATGCTCTTGTGGCTGAATGGAGGCAAGTTCCCGCAGCAATGTTCCAACATCCCAGAAGCGTGGAGGACTGTTATAGCAGCAAAGGGGGGACCAACTCCATAATTAATGCCCATTATTTTGGAATTAGATGTTTGACGAGCAGGTGTCCACATACTTTTGGTCATGTAGTGTATTAATAATGATCCTACATCATATTTGTCAAACATGACTGGCGTTTAGCCTATTAAAATTCTCATTAAACTTTGGTTACATTTTTAGGCGCCTCATGTCAGCAGACTGTAGCCAATACACATAGGCTATCACCTACACTTTGACATGTAGGATAATTATTTATGTACTTTGACATACTCTTGTCGGTTTTCTAATCAATTTAAATGGCTATTTTGGTTAATGGCCTTGATGTCCTAGCAGATGGCCTTGGTGCCCTGGCAGATTGGGCAGCTCTTGATGGCCAAATGGCCTTGCCCCTAAAATCATGAAATTCCAGGTCTGAGGTAGGTACTAGGCTTGTCACGACACCAACATTTTACAAACGATACCAGGCCAAGTATCACGATACCGAGTAGTATAATAATAATCTGTGGCCTAACATCCTGTTCGCCCCGTCTCGCGAACGATTGTTCATGTTTTCTAAACGTTCTCCAAAGACCTGTCACAGAAATTCACACTTCTACTCAATACAATACATTGAATTTAACGTCACACTGTTCAGTAGAATTCTGCATAGAATGGCTGATTTGCTCAGATTTGCAAAGGCCTACCTGCAATTTGGTTGGAGGAATGGGAGGAAGGAATATACATCAGTGGAGGCTGCTGAGGGGAGGACTGCACATAATAATAGCTGGAACGGCGCAAATGGAATGGCATCAAACACATAGAAACCATGCGTTTGATACCATTCCACTGATTCTGCAACAGCTATTACCACGAGCCCGTCCTCCCCAACTAAGGTGCCACCAACCTCATGTGATATACCTGCATAATGATCTCCATATCATTGTCAATAAGGGAAAAACACTGCATGAAACCTTCTTTACTCTTCAGTTAACAGACACACACACTGTCTCCCTCACTCTCATAAACACACACCACTCTCTCCCACAAAAACAAACACTGCTCACAACTTTGAAAACGTTAGACACCAAACAGTATTTAAGGAGCACCAGAAAGAAATGTATGTTTGATATAGTTTAGTCTTCCATTAGGCCTACATGAATCCTACCTTTGAAGCACATCTCATGAGAAGCATACCCTTTTCCTTTCTTCCTGGGCCAATCAGATGAGCCTAAACCTACTGTGAAGTTACCAGGATGTTAGCTAGCTAGGTAACATGACTAAACAACGTTGTTCGTTATCAAACCAATAATTAGCGATTCGTTTTAAACATGGTTTGTGAAATTATATAAAATCCCGATAGAAAAAAGAAACGGCACCTACGTTAATATGAGTCTGTTTAGGCTAGAGACAAGTCGTTTTCTTTGCTGTAAAGCGGCAAGCATGCCTGTCACGAAGCAGTGCTCCATTTTATCTCTCTAACACTCTGAGGCTGCATGACACTGAACTTGCAAAGTCTACTCAGACTGGTATGTGCTCTTGGCATGCCCGGCGCCACCAGGGTGGAAAAAGGGGCAATGCCCCCTTAGCTGGAATATTGTGCCACCTCAGTTTTGTATCCCTATTCTGCCCCACAATCTGCCCCCTCCGTCATGCCCAACCAATTTGTTGTGTATGCTTCATTCATGCAACTCCCTTGCACGCATCATACGTACGTCACACACATTTTACCGGTTGAAAAAAACGTTCAAAGTTACGTACTACGAAAGAAAAAAAGATTACTGCGCAGCTGGATGGAATTTAGCTAATGTTAAAAGTTAGGTAGGTAGCTGATAGTATGATGGATATTAGAAAGTGTCTTCGCCAGGGCACAACGGCAGCATTGGATCAAAGCGGCGGGGAGGGGGAGAAGCCTGCCCCAGAGGCCAAAGGCAAGGCCGCTGAGCCGACGCTAATAACCGAGGCCAAGGCCGCCGAGCCCAGCAGCAAAGGCACCTGCGTAACCGTCTTGCAGCCTGGTTACATAGGAGGTAACCAACCCGAGGAGGGGCCTGCAGCCGCCAAGACCGAACCTAGCACCAGTACCGCCAGTATATTACAAGCACCGACGCCTCCGTTAGTGCCTGACGACCTCGGTGATGAGGAGCCAGCGCAGGTTTGTTGGGGAAATACCCAACCTGCCTGTACTGTGGGAGAAAACTAGCATTTTGTAGCACGTGGTTCAAAGGCAGAGAGTGACTGGAATATTCCTGCAAGGCAGATGCAGTTTGATGAGTTATGGGAGAAATACAAGCACACTTGGACACCCCCGCTCCAAGCAAACGGCAAAGAGTAGTGAGTAGTAATCTGAAAGAATATGTGGTCAAAACAACAATTGGCCAGCAAGAAGAGGATAATGAGAGGGAGTGCAACATACTGTTTCTCAGCACTCTGGATGCTGTACTGGGAGAAATGTCAGCAAGATTTAACAAACGAAACAGCCAACTTGTTGAGGCCCTGTGTGCCTTGCACCCAGAGAATGAAACCTTTAAGGATGTGGAAAAAGTGAAACCACTGCTGGACTTAATCTCAGGAGATTTTGTGGAAACTGAGTTTACTGTCGCACCTCAGTTTCTACAGACTGAAATCGCCCAATCTGGAGAAGAACAATGGACAACGCAGAGCATTTTGGATAGATACTCTGGGCCTCTAACAGCAATGTCTACTGTGATGGCATTGAAGCTGGGATTAACATTTGGAGCATCCACGGCAACTTGCGAGAACTCTTTTTCAACATTGAAAAACGTATTCAGTGAGCACAGACGGAGCATGTTGCACAGGAGGAAAGCACAGCTGATTCAACTGGCATTTGAGAGGAGATCTTACAAGCAAATTCCGTGGGGAGTGGAACAAGAGACTGCTGAGGTGGTTCAACACAGCAAAGGCGGCTGCAACTCTTTTGAATCTGGGTAAGAACAGGCAGCCTGGCTGGGCTTGTACTATTTTGTTATTTGCTAGCTTTTGGAAATGCGTGGCAAATGTCAGAAATAGGCCTAGACGTGATTTTCTTTATTGGCGTTGCTGCCAAGTCTACTGCTTGATTTCTGTGATGTGATTGGATTGGAAATGTTTGGTTTACAATATAATCGGATTGTTTTTAATGTTGTTTTATAATGTAGAAGAGGTGCTTTGCATTACATTGATGAGGGTGGGCAGACCTTGACCAATGGTTGAGTAACAATGTAGCTATAGTGTTGCTATAAACAACTCGTTGCTATGGAATACAAATTTCTCTGTTATCATACGCAGCGTAGTACGGCACTCTTGTGAGAAGACAGCTTGGTAGCTGCGTCCATTGTACCAATAAGTCCTGGTAGTGCATTGTACATTAATGTTTGCTTTCCGCGATTGGAAATGCATCGTATTGGCATGAGGAAGTGTTATTACGTTAATTAGCAACTGTGCATTGGATCGATGGGTATTGTGCATGTAGCTGTGTAGCGTTGTCATAACTTGCAATTTCTCAAGCCGGTTATGAATTGTCCATGTTTGTAAAGCGATGCAGTAGCCTGTATTCTTGCGGCAAGACAGCCGTGCGTGGCTGCAAATACATTGTGTGTAATTGTACTATCGATTATTATCCATCCTGTGTTATCAGCAAGCGGAAATAGTAGTGCCCCCTTAGTCATTTCTGATGCCCCTTTGCCGATTTAATCCTGCCACCGGGCCTGGCTCTTGGTTATAACAGCGATGAAATTATACAATGTATCAACATTGCTCGCTTTGCGCGCTGCTCCAGTGTAACAAATGTACAAATCTAACAACAGAAGACTCATCAGGGTCTCGGTCTGCATCCCTGCTCGCTATCACAGGTACATTTTGTAATTTTTTTTTACTGACGGAGGAATAGACGCGCATGAAGAGCGGACGGAGAGAAGCAGGTGAGTGAGGGCTGGTAGGGGATGTGGCTGGCTGATTACAGCTGCCATGTGATGTGCACATGAAAGTGAAGTGGATATTATTGGACCTGCGCATACAAGAGCCTAGTGGCTGATACTTAAATTCAACTGACTTTATAAACATTTTATAACAGGCGCCAGCAGGTTCTTTAGATTAGTAGGGCAGAAAAAGTTGGCAGTATCATATGAAATGGTACTACCCTTACGGGAAAAAAAATGAAATGCAGTCAGAATACAGTATAACTGCAGCACACTGTAGTTAGTGTGCAGTATAACTGCAGTATGCTGCAAATACAGCGTCCAAAACAACAGTTTTTCTTACAGCAGTAATGTTGCAGTGTAACTGCAGGTCAACTGCATTACACTGCAGTTATTCTGCAATTACTGTGTCCAACATACCACAGTCAACTGCAGTTACTGCACTTTCAGAACTGCAATCTTTTTTTGTAAGGGTATGTATTCTAAAATGTTGGTATCATAAGTATCATGACGTTTTGGTACCGTGATATTACCATGGTGCCAGTATACCATGCATCACTAGTAGGTACACAAATACAGTGGGGAAAAAAGTATTTAGTCAGCCACCAATTGTACAAGTTCTCCCACCTAAAAAGATGAGAGAGGCCTGTAATTTTCATCATAGGTACATGTCAACTATGACAGACAAATTTAGATTTTTTTTTCCAGAAAATCACATTTTAGGATTTTTAATGAATTTATTTGCAAATTATGGTGGAAAATAAGTATTTGGTCACCTACAAACAAGCAAGATTTCTGGCTCTCACAGACCTGTAACTTCTTCTTTAAGAGGCTCCTCTGTCCTCCACTCGTTACCTGTATTAATGGCACCTGTTTGAACTTGTTATCAGTATAAAAGACACCTGTCCACAACCTCAAACAGTCACACTCCAAACTCCACTATGGCCAAGACCAAAGAGCTGTCAAAGGACACCAGAAACAAAATTGTAGACCTGCACCAGGCTGGGAAGACTGAATCTGCAATAGGTAAGCAGCTTGGTTTGAAGAAATCAACTGTGGGAGCAATTATTAGGAAATGGAAGACATACAAGACCACTGATAATCTCCCTCGATCTGGGGCTCCACGCAAGATCTCACCCCGTGGGGTCAAAATGATCACAAGAACGGTGAGCAAAAATCCCAGAACCACACGGGGGGACCTAGTGAATGACCTGCAGAGAGCTGGGACCAAAGTAACAAAGCCTACCATCAGTAACACACTATGCTGCCAGGGACTCAAATCCTGCAGTGCCAGACGTGTCCCCCTGCTTAAGCCAGTACATGTCCAGGCCCGTCTGAAGTTTGCTAGAGTGCATTTGGATGATCCAGAAGAGGATTGGGAGAATGTCATATGGTCAGATGAAACCAAAATAGAACTTTTTGGTAAAAACTCAACTCGTCGTGTTTGGAGGACAAAGAATGCTGAGTTGCATCCAAAGAACACCATACCTACTGTGAAGCATGGGGGTGGAAACATCATGCTTTGGGATCTGTTTTTCTGCAAAGGGACCAGGACGACTGATCCGTGTAAAGGAAATAATGAATGGGGCCATGTATCGTGAGATTTTGAGTGAAAACCTCCTTCCATCAGCAAGGGCATTGAAGATGAAACGTGGCTGGGTCTTTCAGCATGACAATGATCCCAAACACACCGCCCGGGCAACGAAGGAGTGGCTTCGTAAGAAACATTTCAAGGTCCTGGAGTGGCCTAGCCAGTCTCCAGATCTCAACCCCATAGAAAATCTTTGGAGGGAGTTGAAAGTCCGTGTTGCCCAGCGACAGCCCCAAAACATCACTGCTCTAGAGGAGATCTGCATGGAGGAATGGGCCAAAATACCAGCAACAGTGTGTGAAAACCTTGTGAAGACTTACAGAAAACGTTTGACCTGTGTCATTGCCAACAAAGGGTATATAACAAAGTATTGAGAAACTTTTGTTATTGACCAAATACTTATTTTCCACCATAATTAGCAAATAAATTCATAAAAAATCCTACAATGTGATTTTCTGTTTTTTTTTCTTCTCATTTTGTCTGTCATAGTTGACGTGTACCTATGATGGAAATTACAGGCCTCTCTCATCTTTTTAAGTGGGAGAACTTGCACAATTGGTGGCTGACTAAATACTTTTTTCCCCCACTGTAGATACGCACACACACACCTGTTGGGCACACACACACCTGTTGGCCCTGCGGGCGGTGTACTGGCCCCAGGTGGCTCCTGATGGGTACTCCAGGATCAGATGGATATCAGGCTCCTCCACGACATTACCTGCAACTGGACAGACAGAGAGAGGGGTGAGAGGTGGGGTATGGAATCAAGGAGGGAGATATTAAGTATGTAACTGTGATGAGTGTGTGTGTGTGTGTGTGTGTGTGTGTGTGTGTGTGTGTGTGTGTGTGTGTGTACCCGTGATGTGCTGGGACAGTACATCCGCAAAGTCAGGGCTGAAGCTCCCCCCTAGCAACACGTCGCAGCCCTCAGTTGCCATTCGACCAGCCATCACTGGGGCGTTGCCACCTATAGACCAGCGGTTGCCAGGCAACTCACGAGATGCCTCGACCAGCTGACTGAACAGGGTGTTGTTCATCACAAACCGCCTGAGAGGAAGAAAGGAGAGGTGGGAGAGGGAGGTACCAGAAAAAGAAGGGAGGGTTAGAAGGTAGAAACGTCACTGCTTATAAAGCATTACAAAACCATACCCAGAAACGTTCTAGAAGTGTGTGTGTGTGTGACGCACACTTGGCCTCAGTATAATCAGATTAACCTACAGGATGAGCCACAGCGTCAGGTAGATTAGAGTTTGATTACGGTTAGTAGAGCCCAGGCAGCACCTGTCTGTCTATGTGACTCTGGGCCTTTCTCTGCTCTACATATTAGTATCAACCAGGGTTGGGGTCAATTTGAGTTGAAGTCACCCAATTCAGGAAGTGATTTTAATTTAAAAAACTAAAAACTTGAAAAACATTTTAAATAAATAGCTTCTCATTTTCAGTTGATTGAGAAATCATTGAAAACGCGATTTATTACATTATTGAATTGGAATTTCAGTTCACTTCCTGAATTGACTGACTAATTCGAAGTGACCCCCAACCCTGGTATCATCAAGCCACCGTGCATCAGTATAGACAGATAGACAGCTCCATGGTGAGAAAGGAACCCAGACTGTTTTCATTACAACTTAGTTCCACACACTGAGCACAGAGCTACGCTAGATAGCTAGCTACTTGTTGGGCCAATCCGCAGTTGAAACAATAAACTGCTCACCCTGCCTCTTTTGGTAAACATCTGAGGGATGGGCCTGGAGAAATGTAGGCCTAACTGCTCTCAAATTCTTTGACTGAGCTATGGATGCAAGGACTGACAATCCATGAAATCAAAATTATCGTTTTAACCATGTTTTGAGGCAAAACAGTGTTTGTTTACATTTATAATGTTTACAAAACATTGAAGTAAAACGGGCATATATTTTGGGTTCTGATGACATGTGACCATTGAACTAAGCTCATGAGGCATTTATAAGTTATTCTTCATTGGTTACAGTGCCTTCAGAAAGTATTCATACCACTTGAATTATTCCACATTTTGTTGTGTTACAGCCTGAATTCAAAATGGATTAAAATAAAATAAGAATCTCACCCATCTACACACAATACCCCATAATGACAAAGTGAAAACATGTATTTTGAAATTGTAGCTCATTTTTTGAAAATGAAAACACAGAAATATTAATTTACATAAGTATTCACACCCCTGAGTCAATACTTTGTAGAAGCACCTTTGGCAGTGATTACAGCTGTGAGTCTTTCTGGGTAAGTCTCTAAGAGCTTTCCACACCTGGATTGTGCAAAATTTGCCCATTATTCTTTTCTAAATTCTTCAAACTCTGTCAAATTGGTAGTTGAGCATTGCTAGACAGCCATTTTCAAGTCTTGCCATAGATTTCCAAGTAGATTTAAGTCAAAACTGTAACAACTCGGCCATATAGGAACATTGACTGTCTTCTTGGTAAGCAACTCATGTGTTTTAGGTTATTGTCCTGCTGAAAATCTCCCCGTTTTTTATGTGAAGCAGGCTGAACCAGGTTTTCCTCTAGGATTTTGCCTGTGCTTAGCTCCATTCCATTTTTATCCTGAAAAACTAAGTCCTTAACGATTACAAGCATACCCATAACAAGATGCAGCCACCAGTACAGTGCATTCGGAAAGTATTCAGACCCCTTGACTTATTCCACATTGTTACGTTGCAGCCTTATTCTAAAATGGATTAAATCGTTTTTTCCCCTCAACAATCTACACACAATACCCCATAATGACAAAGCAAAAACAGGTTTTTATAAATGTTGCTAGTTTATAAAAAAAACTAAAACAGAAATATTGCATTTACATAAGTATTCAGACGCTTTACTCAGTACTTTGTTGACGCACCTTTGGCAGCGATTACAGCCTAGAGTCTTCTTGGGTATGACACTACAAGCTTGGCACACCTGTATTTGGGGAGTTTCTCCCGTTCTTCTCTGCAGATCCTCTCAAGCTCTGTCAGGTTGGATGGGGAGCGTTGCTGCACAGCTATTTTCAGGTCTCTCCAGAGATGTTTGATCGGGTTCAAGTCCGGGCTCTGGCTGGGCCACTCAAGGACATTCAGAGACTTGTCCAGAAGCCACTCCTGCGTTGTCTTGGCTGTGTGCTTAGGGTCATCATCCTGTTGGAAGGTGAACCTTCACCCCAGTCTGAGGTCCTGAGCGCTCTGGAGCAGGTTTTCATCAAGGATCTCTGTACTTTGCTCCGTTCATCTTTCCCTCGATCCTGACTAGTCTCCCAGTCCCTGCCACTAAAAACATCCCCACAGCATGATACTGCCACCACCACGCTTCACCGTAGGGATGGTGTCACAGCCTGATCTGTTTCACCTGTCTTTGTGATTGTCTCCACCCCCCTCCAGGTGTCGCCCATCTTCCCCATTATCCCCAGTGTATTTATACCTGTGCTCTCTGTTTGTCTGTTGCCAGTTCGTTTTGTTTCTTCAAGCCTACCAGTGTTTTTCTCCTTGCTCCTGTCTTTTTCATGTTCCTGTATTCTCGTTTTCCCGGTTTTGACTATTCTGCCTGCGCTGCCGTTCTGTAACTTGTCACACCACCCTGGATTATTGAACTCTGCCTGCCCTGACCCTGAGACTGCCTTGCCGTTCTATACCTTTTGGACTCTGATCTGGATTACTGACCTCTGCCTGCCCTTGACCTGTCGTTTGCCTGCCCCGTTTTTGCAATAAACTTTTGTTACTTCGACACTGTCTGCATCTGGGTCTTCTCCTGAAACGTGATAGATGGTGCCTGGTTTCCTCCAGACGTGACGCTTGGCATTCAGGCCAAAGAGTTCAATCTTTGGTTTCATCAGATTAGAGAATCTTGTTTCTAATGGTCAGAGTCCTTTAGGTGCCTTTAGGCAAACTCCAAGCGGGCTGTCATGTGCCTTTTACTGAGGAGTGGCTTCCGTCTGGCCATTCTAACATAAAGGCCTGATTGGTGGAGTGTTGCAGAGATGGTTGTCCATCTGGAATGTTCTCCCATCTCCACAGAGGAACTCTGGAGCTCTGTCAGAGTGACCATCGGGTTCTTGGTCATCTCCCTGATTGCTCAGTTTGGCCAGGCGGCCAGCTCTAGGAAGGGTCTTGGTGGTTCCAAACTTCTTTCATTTAAGAATGACTGAGGCCACTTTGTTCTTGGGGACCTTCAATGCTGCAAAAAAAGAATTGTACCCTTCCCCAGATCTGTGCCTCGACACAATCCTGTCTCTGAGTTCTACGGACAATTCCTTCGACCTCATGGCTTGGTTTTTGCTCTGACATGCACTGTTAACTGTGGGACCTTATATAGACAGGTGTGTCCCTTTTCAAATCATGTCCAATCAATTGAATTTACCAAAGGTGGACTCCAATCAAGTTGTTGAAACATCTCAAGTACGATCAATGGAAACAGGATGCACCTGAGCTCAATTTCAAGTCTCATAGCAAAGGGTCTGAACACTTATGTAAATAAGGTATTTCTGTTTTTAATTTTTAATAAATTAGCAACATTTTTGAAAAACCTGTTTTCGCTTTGTCATTGTGAGGTATTGTGTGTAGATTGATGAGCGAAAAAAACAAGTTAATCCATTTTAGAACACAACATGTAAAAGTGTTGGTCCCATATTTCATGAGCTGAAATAACATTTCACATATTTTTCATACGCAAAAGCTTATTTATCTCAAATTTTGTGCACAAATTTGTTTATATCCCGGTTAGTGAGCATTTCTCATTTGCCAAGATAATCCATCCACCAGACAGATGTGAAATATCAAGAAGCTGATTAAACAGCATGATCATTACACAGGTGCACCTTGTGGTGGGGACAATAACAGGGCACTCTAAAATGTGCAGTTGTCACAACACAATGCCACTGATCTCAAGTTGAGGGAGTGTGCAATTGGCATGCTGACTGCAGGAATGTCCACCAGAGCTGTTGCCAGAGAATGTCATGTTAATTTCTCTACCATAAGCCTCCTCCAACGTCGTTTTAGAGAATTTGGCAGTACGTCCAACCGGCCTCACAACCGCAGACCAAGTGTAACCACGCCAGCCCAGGACCATATGACACCAGCCACCCGGACAACTGATGAAACTGTGGGTTTGCACAACCAAATAATTTCTGCAAAAAGTGTCTGAAACCGTCTCAGGGAAGCTCATCCGTGTCCTCACCAGGGTCTTGACCTGACGGCAGTTCAGCATCATAAATGACTTCAGCGGGCAAATGCTTAACTTCGATGGTGACTGGCACACTGGAGAAGTGTGCTTTTCACGGATGAATCCCGGTTTCAACTGTACCGGGCAGATGGCAGACAGCGTGTATGGTGCCCCATGATGGCGGTGGTATGGGCATGCATAAGCTACGGACAACCAACACAATTGCATTTTATCGATGGCAATTTGAATGCACAGAGATACCGTGACGAGATCCTGAGGCCCATTGTCATGCCACTCATCCGCCACCATCACCTCATGTTTCAGCATAGTAATGCACAGCCCCATGTCGCAAGGATCTGTACACAATTCCTGGAAGCTGAAGATGTTCCAGTTCTTCCATGGCCTACTCACCAGACATGTCACCCATTGAGCATGTTTGGGATGCTCTGGATCGACGTGTATGACAGCGTGTTCCAGTTCCCGACAATATCCAGAAACTTCGCACAGCCATTGAAGAGGAGTGGGACAACATTCCACAGGCCACAATCAACAGCCTGATCAACTCTATGTAAAGGAGTTGTCACGCTGCATGAGGAAAATGGTGGTCATACTGACTGGTTTTCTGATTCACACCCCTACCTTTAAAAAAAATAGGTATCTGTGACCAACAGATGCATAGCTGTATTCCCAGTCATGTGAAATCAATAGATTAGGGCCTAATTTCAATTGACTGATTTCCTTATATGAACTGTAACTCAGTAAAACCTTTGAAATTGTTGCATGTTGCGTTTATATTTTTGTTTATTGTACAATGTTGTTGATCCATCCTCAGTTTTCTCCTATCACAGCCATTAAACTCTGTAACGGTTTTAAAGTCACCATTGGCCTCACGGTGAAATCCTTGCGCGGTTCCCGTCCTCTCTGGCAACAGTTTGGAACGACGCCTGTATCTTTGTAGTGACTGGGTGTATTGATACACCATCCAAAGTGTAATTAATAACTTCACCATGATCAAAGGGATATTCAATGTCTGTCTTTTATTTTTTATCCATGTACCAATAGGTGCTCTTCTTTGCGTGGCATTGTAAACCTCCCTGGTCTTTGTGGTTTGAAATTCACTGCTCGACTGAGGGACCTTACAGATAATTGTATGTGTGGGGTACAGAGATGAGGTAGTCATTCAAAAATCATGTTAAACACTATTATTGCACAAGTCCATGCAACTTTTAAGCAAATTCTTACTCCTGAACTTATTTAGGCTTGCCATAACAAAGGGGTTGAATACTTAGACTCAAGACATTTCAGTATTTCATTTTTAATTCATTTGTAAACATTTCTAAATACATAATTCCACTATGACATTATGGGGTATTGTGTGTAGGCCAGTGACAAAAATTCTAAATGTAATATTTTCTGAACGCACTGTATATATCATTAATGTAGCAACTGCAGACTGCCCCTTTAAACAAAAACGGATGATAACTGGAGTCCAAGCCAAAGGTTGTTGATATGAGAGGGTGTGAGAGGAACCGAGTTAGATGATTAATTATTATTAATGCCTTAGTCCACCAGGACCTTGACTCTGAGTGTGTGTGTGTGTGTGAGTGTGAGTGTGAGTGTGGTGTGAGTGTGGTGTGAGTGTGAGTGTGGTGTGAGTGTGAGTGTGGTGTGTGTGTGTGTGTGTGTGTGTGTGTGTGTGTGTGTGTGTGTGTGTGTGTGTGTGTATGTATGTGTGTGTGTGTGTGTGTGTACCCCACTACCACCATGTTGCTCCTCAGCTAGAAATATCCCCCCTGCTCTCTTAGGAACACGCGTGTGTGAAACTAAACGCCTTTGCCTTCTAACTTTGTCCTTCAGTTATTTAACACCATTTAGGGCATGGCCACTCACTCTGCAGCGGCTCCAGGGACGAAGAAGTAAGCGAAGCTCTGTGCCAGCTGATCAGCGTTCTCTATGTAGTCATGATGGAGAGGCTGGTCTGTGGGTGGCAGGCCGATCTTATTCAGCAACCTCACCCCGTCCACGAGGATGTCTACACAACCCCCTAAACCTGGAGGGAGAGAGGGAGGGAGAGGAGAAGGGAACAGTATTTAATACAGTACACAATCACAACACAACCCCCAAAACCTGGAGACAGAGAGAGAGGGAGGAAGGGAACAGTATTTGGGAGGGAACATAATTTGACGCCCCCTGCACAACAGTCCCCAATCCCTGCAGTGAGCTCACTATGTCAGCATCCCCCCCATTACTTCCATTGGCCTGCCTGCCTCCAAATGCATATAGAGTGAGGGAGGCAACACTCAGTACTCAGACAGATGTAGCCTACTGGGTGGCACAGTACTCTGCGCTTTGTAACATGTCACCATAAATCAAAGTGCATTCAAAATCCATTTAGCAACCTGTCACAACACGATCATGACAGCAAAGTCACTCATAAGTGACTCATGTATAGTCACGTAATGTAATTGCACTCATGTAACTGTGTAAAACAAAAGGCTTGTGCAAGGTACAGGAATCACAGATATTGAATTATACAGTTGTGCAACAACATTATGTGCAAGGTTCAGAGACCCGGGGATGTGCAATATTGCTCTTAATTAATTTGTACGTTTGATGTTACAGTGAGGGAAAAAAGTATTTGATCCCCTGCTGATTTTGTACGTTTGCCCACTGACAAAGAAAAGATCAGTCTATAATTTTAATGGTAGGTTTATTTGAACAGTGAGAGACAGAAAAACAACAAAAATATCCAGAAAAACACATATAAAAAATGTTATGAATTGTTTTGCATTTTAATGAGGGAAATAGGTATTTGACCCTCTCTCAATCAGAAAGATTTCTGTCTCCCAGGTGTCTTTTATACAGGTACCGAGCTGAGATTAGGAGCACACTCTTAAAGGGAGTGCTCCTAATATCAGCTTGTTACCTGTATAAAAGACACCTGTCCACAGAAGCAATCAATCAATCAGATTCCAAACTCTCCACCATGGCCAAGACCAAAGAGCTCTCCAAGGATGTCAGGGACAAGATTGTAGACCTACACAAGGCTGGAATGGGCTACAAGACCATCGCCAAGCAGCTTGGTGAGAAGGTGACAACAGTTGGTGCGATTATTCGCAAATGGAAGAAACACAAAATAACTGTCAATCTCCCTCGGCCTGGGGCTCCATGCAAGATCTCACCTCGTGGAGTTGCAATGATCATGAGAACGGTGAGGAATCAGCCCAGAACTACACGGGAGGATCTTGTCAATGATCTCAAGGCAGCTGGGACCATAGTCACCAAGAAAACAATTGGTAACACACTACGCCGTGAGTGCCCGCAAAGTCCCCCTGCTCAAGAAAGCACATACAGTGGGGAAAAAAAGTATTTAGTCAGCCACCAATTGTGCAAGTTCTCCCACTTAAAAAGATGAGAGGCCTATAATTTTCATCATAGGTACACGTCAACTATGACAGACAAAATGAGAAAAAAATATCCAGAAAATCACATTGTAGGATTTTTTATGAATTTATTTGCAAATTATGGTGGAAAATAAGTATTTGGTCAATACCAAAGTTTCTCAATACTTTGTTATATAGCCTTTGTTGGCAATGACACAGGTCAAACGTTTTCTGTAAGTCTTCACAAGGTTTTCACACACTGTTGCTGGTATTTTGGGCCCATTCCTCCATGCAGATCTCCTCTAGAGCAGTGATGTTTTGGGGCTGTCGCTGGGCAACACGGACTTTCAACTCCCTCCAAATATTTTCTATGGGGTTGAGATCTGGAGACTGGCTAGGCCACTCCAGGACCTTGAAATGCTTCTTACGAAGCCACTCCTTCGTTGCCCGGGCGGTGTGTTTGGGATCATTGTCATGCTGAAAGACCCAGCCACGTTTCATCTTCAATGCCCTTGCTGATGGATGGAGGTTTTCACTCAAAATCTCACGATACATGGCCCCATTCATTCTTTCCTTTACACGGATCAGTCGTCCTGGTCCCTTTGCAGAAAAACAGCCCCAAAGCATGATGTTTCCACCCCCATGCTTCACAGTAGGTATGGTGTTCTTTGGATGCAACTCAGCATTCTTTGTCCTCCAAACACGACGAGTTGAGTTTTTACCAAAAATTTCTATTTTGGTTTCATCTGACCATATGACATTCTCCCAATCCTCTTCTGGATCATCCAAATGCACTCTAGCAAACTTCAGACGGGCCTGGACATGTACTGGCTTAAGCAGGGGGACACATCTGGCACTGCAGGATTTGAGTCCCTGGCAGCGTAGTGTGTTACTGATGGTAGGCTTTGTTACTTTGGTCCCAGCTCTCTGCAGGTCATTCACTAGGTCCCCCCGTGTGGTTCTGGGATTTTTGCTCACCATTCTTGTGATCATTTTGACCCCATGGGGTGAGGTCTTGCGTGGAGCCACAGATCGAGGGAGATTATCAGTTGTCACGTGAATTTTTATCTCTAATTCAACCTAAGCTTGAATCATTACCAGAGGTTGTAAAGCTCTGGTTTTAATCATCAATGATTCAAGGTCCACAATCCACAAGTAATCATCAGTAAATTTTATTTAAGGAGAGCTCTGCTCAAAAACACAAATAACCTGTTTTTTATACTCCTTGACAAACAAAGACACTATGCTCCTCCCACCTTTCTTAAACAGTTCCCGCCTTCCCCCTTGAATGGTTAGTAACGCCCCCTCTGTTAGTGGGTTGACACTACATGATAATTCTAACATTTATACTGTGTTTGGGGTGAAATTCTTTAGTCATTATTTTTAATACACAAATTCATCTATCAATCCACCCTTTTGACTAAATGGTTTCATCTTCAGGATAAATGTATTTACAAACATGTTTAATCTCAGAGATCAGTTATATTTATCTACATCCAATCATAGGTCTTCTTTTTAGGATTTTCCCTATGACCTTCATACATCAGAATCAATAAACGTTTCATCCAATTGCGGTCTTTCAGGGTCAAAGTCGTCGTTATCCCCCAAGCCTGGAGGATCGTATTTCCCGCTCTCCTGGTCAGAGTCCGGAGTCGGTCCATCTCTTATCATTTGGTGAGATACTGCATTCACCAACGCCTTGCTCACCAATCCTCGGACACAGGGAACAAGACAACAACCACATAATACAAGAATTCCCATACAAACACTGACTGCCCCTAAGATGGTTGCTGCTATGGTTTTCCATTTACCAAACATGGTATCAAACCATCCTGTCCAAGATGTACTAATTCCTGAGTTTTCAGCCCATTCTTTACTTAGCGCAGTTAATCCTGCAAGAGCTCTGGTCACCGTCCCCTCCGGTGCGGTGTTGTTAGGGATAAATGTGCAACAATGGCCCCCCACCATTTTACAGACTCCACCCCTTTCTGCCAGCAACATATCCAGAGCTAACCGATTTTCCCAGGTCATAAGTGAGGTGGCCGATAATTGCTCGGAGATCCCCTTTACTGCATCTCTAGTCTGGTTAATAAATCGTTGTTGGTTGTAATAGATATAATTAATCCAATCCACATTTTTGTTTATTGTCACCCACCAGAAAAATGTTGTGGTGAACCCCTCCCATATCTGATTCATAGCTTTGTATTCATCTGGAACACCCCTGGGGATGCCTATACCATCTATCCAAATGGGGCTATTTCCTTCCTGACCTATATTCCTTTTCCTTCTGATTCTTCTTCCTGTCACTGGTCTTTGATGACTAATTCTTACAGGCTGGACCAACAACACTGGTGCACAAGTACCCACCCATCCCTCTGGTAATGTCTGCCGAATACTCCCTTTTTTTGTGCATGCCCACCACACATCAGTCAGAGGGATGGTTAGGTTCCTAATTTTTTTCCTTCCTTCCTTATCTAAATCAGTCACATTAATTATCTCCCAAACACTTTTTCAAAGGGGGATAACCCATCTTTATCCGGTGTTACCCTTATCGTCATTAATACTATTGGTAGACATTGTACCCAATTTCTTCCTGTACTCATGTGCGTTTTTCTTAAACGTGATTTAATCGTCGAATTAGTGCGTTCAATCAAACCTGCTGATTCCGGATGATATGAACAATGTTTTTTCATATTAATATGTAACTTCTGTCCAATATTATCTATTACCTGGTTGGAGAAGTGAGACCCATTGTCGGAATAAATAGTTTCTGGCAATCCGAACCGAGGGATTATTTCCTGACATAAAGCTTTAGCTACTGTGAATGCATCAGCGGAGGAGGTTGGAAAGACTTCTACCCATTTGGTATACTTGTCTATCACAGTCAAACACCATTTTTTCCCTTCACTTCTTGTAAGTTCTATAAAATCCATTTCCAACTGTTGGAATGGATATCTGGCCTGGGGAAATTCCCCTTTTGGTGCTCTCTGCTTTCCTTGATGATTACTTTGTGCACATATAACACACCTAGAACAAAATTTTTTAAAGTAATTTGTTATCCCGTACGCTACAAAGTGCTTTCTAATTATTTCCACCATTCCCCCGGTTGATACGTGACTTTGTCCATGTATCAAAATAGCTGCATATCTAAACAGAGATTTTGGTAATATAGGTAAATTACCTTGATGCCACATTTCCCCCTTCTTGACTGCTCCCATTTTCTCCCATCTACTCACTTCCTTCATCGGTGCTCTTAACTGGCTGTCTATCAGTAATGCTTTATCAATGTCTACCTCCTCTTTTAGATGTAAGTATGTGGGTGATTGTGGTTTGACACCTGCCTTTTTCGCTTCCTCATCTGCCTTTCTGTTGCCGTTGCTTATGCTATCTACACCTTTAGTGTGAGCATCACATTTACATATAGCTAACTTCTCTGGTAGGAGTACAGCATCTAAAAGATTCAAAATTAACTGGGCATGTGTAATGGTTTTGCCAGAAGTGGTTACCATTCCCCTGTTTCTCCATTGTGCAGCAAATACGTGTACTGTATTAAATGCATAGGCACTATCGGTGTAAATAGTAACCTTTTTCCCTTTACCCAAATGACATGCCCGAGTGAGAGCCACTATCTCTGCCTGTTGTGCAGAATAATTTCTAGGTAATGATTCAGCTTCCAAGACGTCAGTCTCTGTTACAACTGCATATCCTGTAGCATTCGTACCATCAGGGTTTTTTCTAGATGAACCATCAACAAACATAGTCACTTCCCCATCCACTAAGGCTAGGTCTTTTAAGTCAGGTCTTGGCAACACAAGTTTCTCAGTTTCAGTTATACAATCATGTGGGCTGCCATCTGTCGCAATAGGAACTAGAGTAGAGGGGTTTAGAGTTGTACACCGTTCAATGGTCAAATTAGGCATATTTAACAGGATTATCATACAAGATAAATGTCTAGCAGGTGACATATAGGCCATTTTATGCTCCAACAACAGTATGGATACTGCATGCGGAACCTTTAGTGTTAAATCGTGGTACAAAACTATTGATGCCGAATCTTGCACTGCCTGAGCTGCAGCTACCACTGATTGTAAACATAGTGGCATTGCTTGTGCTACCTGGTCTAATTTAGATGAATAATATGCAATGGGTTTGTTCTTATCCCCATGTTTTTGAGTCAAAACCGATGTCATATATCCCTCCCTACAATCTACCGTCTGGGTAAAAGGCCTGTCATATCTAGGAAAAGCTAAGGCTGTTTGGGAAGTGAGCAACTTTTTTATCTCTATAAATTGTTCCTCCGCCTCAGAGTTCCAAATGATTTTATCATGGGCTGCCATTGCCTTCCCATAGATAAGATCACTTAACTTCCCAGTATGCAGTGCATAATGCGGTACCCAAGCTCTACAGTAGTTTATCATCCCCAAAAAGCTCATCATTTGTTTTTTGTTCAATGGTTTTGGCGCTTCAAGTATAGCAGTTTTCCTGGATGAGTTTAACATTCGCCCTTCCTGAGTTATAGCGTGTCCTAGGTAAATCACCTCGCTCTGCCAAAGTTGAAGTTTCTTTTTGCTCACTTTGTGTCCCTGTTCTGCCAGGAAGGTTAACAATTGGATTGTATCCCTCTTACATCCCTCCTGAGTGGGATTAGCCAATAGAATATCATCTACATAAACTAACATTTGGCTTCCCTCCTGAGGTTCAAACTTTCCCAAATTCCTAGTTATAGCCTGGGCAAAGATTGTAGGACTTTCCGAGTAGCCCTGAGGCATCCTAGCGTATGTCCATTTCCTTCCCTGAAAAGTAAAGCCAAACCACCCCTGACTATCCGGATGAACTGGGATACTAAAGAAAGCATTAGCTAAATCTATCACTGTAAAATAGGAGTTTTCTGGTTTCAATTGGTTCAGCAATGTATGTGGGTCTGGTACACATGGAGCTCTGGGAATGATATTTCTATTAACCCCCTGCAAGTCCATTACCATCCTCCAGTCGGCGCTAGGTGCCTGCCTTTTTAACAGGAAATACTGGAGAGTTACATTGTGCCTCGTCTCCAGGAATTATCACCCCTCCCTTAAGTAAATGCTCAAATGTAGGTGTTATCCCTTTTATTGCTTCTGGTTTCATAGGGTATTGCTTTTGGTATGGTCTATGATCGGATCGAGGAATCACTTGTACTGGAGCTACCCCCTTAATTAGTCCCACATCGGCTGGTCCTTGTGACCATAATTTGAATGGAATTGCTGCTAACTCATCCTCCTGTTCCTGAGTTAAGAAAATCTCTTCCTGTCATCCGTTAAAATTTGTCTCCAGGTGGACTCCGGGCTGGGTTTTTGCTCTCCAATTCAATTTTCTTCTATATCTCCCAGTGGAGTGGCTATACTGATCCCCATTTGGTGTATTTTGCCAGTCAGTGATGTTTTTTCCCCTGTTTTATCCATTTACCTAGTGATAACCATTCCTCTGAAGGTTCTTTCACTAGGGAAACATGGGGGCTCCACCTTTCTCTGTACAGTCTCTGGCTTTGTGGTCCTAACTCCACCTCTACAGCTGCCCGTTTTTTATCATAGTGAACCCATTTTAACCCAATTGTTTTTTCTGTGGTTTTTAACAATTCTTCCTCATAATCTGGGTTAGGGCCTGGGTGCTCATTACACCATAATGTACAGTGTAAGTCATCTACCGTCATCTTGGTTGATCCAATCACTAACTCATTACTCAGGTCCATTAGTGATTTCGGTATGTCTGTGAGTCCCCCTCTTAGCAGATCCTGGCTATACCAATAGCATGGTTTTCCCTCCCCGCTCAATACCATATTATCTCTTACGACATATGCCTTCATACCCCTTAGCGTTGGCTTTACAGCTACGTTCAACTGAGTCATGGCATCCCTTCCTAGCAAATTGACCGGACACAGGCTTGATACAAGTACAGGTATGCATACCTCTCCCCCTGAATCTTCATGTTTTAAAGTCACCGGGGCCGATAATCGCTCTATAAATTGATGGCCCGAGGCCGAGCGTACCATGATTTTTTCCCCATTAATTCTAATTCCTTTGGGTATGTCGGCTACACAGATCGCTGTGCGACATGCCCCTGTGTCACACAAGAATTTAATATTTTTTCCCAATATTGTTAAGGTGAGGTATGGTTTCTGTTCTTGCTGCAGAGCCAATTCAATCGTTTCCAATTCAAACACTTCACACCCCGTATCAATGGTATCCTCTGACCCCTCTCCTTCACTATCTGTCTTAGTATCTTCCCCTTGCTCTAGTCATGCCTCATCTTCCTCTTCCTCCCTACCGGAACTGGGTGGTGGGTGTTTGTAGGCCCTTTCTCTTTTCCCCCCCTATTATTTTGCTTGCCTCTTCTTTTATTGCTGCAGCCGCGATAGTTATGACCTGGCTCGTTACAGTATTTACACGGCCCCTCACACTCCCTTACAAAGTGTCCTTCTTTGTCACAGTTAAAGCACCTACTTCCTTTCCCATAGGGCAGGAAAGAGCGAAGCCTCGCTCCCCCCTCTTCTGGAGTTCTATTTCTCCCAGCTATCTCCCCCAGAGTAGCAATTAAATACTCTGCTCCCTTTTGTTCCCTTTTTACTCTATCCTGTCTACTATTCTGCTCATGATGGATTGCATATCTCCTGACCTCGGCTAACGATGTAGTTCCCCATCCCACTAAAGTTCTCTTAATATTCCTGCTTATTTCTGGTCTCATTCCACTAAGGAATGCTATTTTTAACTGTTGATGGTACGGAGTATCATTCCCTTGCCCTTGGGGAGGCTCAGGTATCCCACTATTTGCGTTAAATACATTTCTCAGTCTCTCTAAGTATTGGCTGATGGTCTCACTGTCTTCCTGTTTACATTCATGTACTTTGGAGAAGTCAGCATGTCGATGGTAATATTCCCTTAAATTATTACACAATTCAGTTATTTTCCCAACATATTGCCCATCATCTGCCCATGGTAGGACTGCTCCATTGGCATCCCCTGAAACCCACTGCCCCCGAACAGCTGCCCAATCTTTCCCAACTAGGGTTCTGACTGCCCTTTCAATTTCCCCTGTGTTTAGCTTAAAGCTTGCTGCTAGACTCTCCAAATCCCTCCTGAACCCCTCTATTCCTGTCTTAGGGTGCACTACACCCTCTATAGCTCTCACTACATCTCGCTGTGTCCATGCCCTATATACATCCAGTGTGTCTGGTGCATGCTCCTCCCCAGCCCTTGGGTTCGGCAAGGCTATCAAAGGGTACTGGTCATCCCCTGTGTCATCATCTACCCACTCTTTCTTCCCTGGCTTATTGTAGTTTTCTAATCTTTTTAACTCCCTGTTCTTAAACTCTCTGTGTTTACTTTCTCTAGCTTTCCCTGCCTCTTTCTCCCTATCCAATTCTATTCTTAACCTGACTACCTCCTGTTGTAAAACTTCCCCCTCTTTGTTCTCTTCACTGGCCTCTTTACTCTGCCCCCCCGTCTTCCCGCCCTTCCAACATTCCGGCTTGGCCGTCATATGGTGGGGGAAGGACGGGGATCACCCCTAATCTTCTTTTACACATGACAACGGTGTCATCTGGGCTTTCTTTCCAAGCTTGCTCTACCAACTCTGGATATAACCTCTCTGCTCTTTGCTGTGGGGGAGGTCCTGAAACGTCCTTTTTCTGTATATCCCTTTCTCTCTCCATCTCTAACTTCTTCCTCTTTTCTCCTTCCTCTCTCCTTCGCGCTTCAAAAAGCCATACCCTCGCTGTCTCTAGCCCCTCCGCTCGCTGTTTTTTAACATTTGATATGCATTTGCGTAATCATATTTTCTAACTTTGCAACATCGAGATGCCCAATAAATCCATACCTCTTCTCCCAAATGGACCCATAAAACATATTTCTCCGATCCCTCCCTAACATATATCTTTCATCTCCCGTTAATTCTCGGACTTGTTTAGAAGATGTCTTTCCCATCGTGGAACAATAAGAAATCCCTCCCCCCCTTTTTGTTTTTTAAATAATTCACTCCCGAATTATTTCCGTAGGAGCCAATCTCTTAGTGCGCCTCTTGCTTTTGTAATTAACCCTTTAAAATTATTTAACCCCTAACCCAGAGTTTCTATTTAAAACTCCGGTTTCATGAAAAGAGTAAGTTACCCAATTTTCCTCACGCGACTTATTTTTTTCCCTCCACCCCTGAAATAATGATCACGTCTCCCGAGGGATTAAGTCTCACACACATACGACCTTATCATCTGTTAAACTTGTTTGCACAGTTCTAGCAAATGCCCAGTCGCATATAGAACTCCTGACACATCCCTCTCACACGATGATAATTATTTCCCTGTTTATACTGTCATACTGCAATTCGTACAATGACAATATTAACTTAGTTTACATTTGTGATTGCAATTCACTACCATGTCATTTCGGACTAGTTTTTTTTTGTAATAGCTATTTACCTCTAGGATCAATTGCGGACCCTCCCTGTCGTAATAATTATTACCTTCTTTGACTTTGGTAACTAAGTTCAACTCATTTTACCAAAATCCATGAATAAAAATTACTGACCTTTTCCTTGCAGTCTGGATTAAAATGCTTTTTCAAACTTGTTAACGTCTTTATCGTTCATAAAGAGTAATCACCGGCCTGTTTATTAACCTTAACGTGGAAGGCCAGGACTCTCTCACGGATGCGATCACCCGGCCGTGCACGGATTTCGGTGTCTCTAGAACGATAAAGATGTATTAAGATCCGGCTCGAAGGACCAATCTGTCACGTGAATTTTTATCTCTAATTCAACCTAAGCTTGAATCATTACCAGAGGTTGTAAAGCTCTGGTTTTAATCATCAATGATTCAAGGTCCACAATCCACAAGTAATTATCAGTAAATTTTATTTAAGGAGAGCTCTGCTCAAAAACACAAATAACCTGTTTTTTATACTCCTTGACAAACAAAGACACTATGCTCCTTCCACCTTTCTTAAACAGTTCCCGCCTTCCCCCTTGAATGGTTAGTAACGCCCCCTCTGTTAGTGGGTTGACACTACATGATAATTCTAACATTTATACTGTGTTTGGGGTGAAATTCTTTAGTCATTATTTTTAATACACAAATTCATCTATCATCAGTGGTCTTGTATGTCTTCCATTTCCTAATAATTGCTCCCACAGTTGATTTCTTCAAACCAAGCTGCTTACCTATTGCAGATTCAGTCTTCCCAGCCTGGTGCAGGTCTACAATTTTGTTTCTGGTGTCCTTTGACAGCTCTTTGGTCTTGGCCATAGTGGAGTTTGGAGTGTGACTGTTTGAGGTTGTGGACAGGTGTCTTTTATACTGATAACAAGTTCAAACAGGTGCCATTAATACAGGTAACGAGTGGAGGACAGAGGAGCCTCTTAAAGAAGAAGTTCCAGGTCTGTGAGAGCCAGAAATCTTGCTTGTTTGTAGGTGACCAAATACTTATTTTCCACCATAATTTGCAAATAAATTCATTAAAAATCCTACAATGTGATTTTCAGGATTTTTTTTTCTCAATTTGTCTGTCATAGTTGACGTGTACCTATGATAATGATGATTACAGGCCTCTCATGGCACACACTGCAGCAGGGATTTTGGCCCACTCCTCCATACAGACCTTCTCCAGATCCTTCAGGTTTCGGGTCTGTCGTGGGCAATACGGACTTTCAGCTCCCTCCAAAGATGTTCTATTGGGTTCAGGTCTGGAGACTGGCTAGGCCACTCCAGGACCTTGAGATGCTTCTTACGGAGCCACTCCTTAGTTGCCCTGGCTGTGTGTTTCGGGTCGTTGTCATGCTGGAAGACCCAGCCACGACCCATCTTCAATGCTCTTACTGAGGGAAGGAGGTTGTAGGCCAAGATCTCGCGATACATGGCCCCATCCATCCTCCCCTCAATACGGTGCAGTCGTCCTGTCCCCTTTGCAGAAAAGCATCCCCAAAGAATGATGTTTCCACCTCCATGCTTCACGGTTGGGATGGTGTTCTTGGGGTTGTACTCATCCTTCTTCCTCCAAACACGGCAAGTGCAGTTTAGACCAAAAAGCTATATTTTTGTTTCATCAGACCACATGACCTTCTCCCATTCCTCCTCTGGATCATCCAGATGGTCATTGGCAAACTTCAGACGGGCCTGGACATATGCTGGCTTGAGCAGGGGGACCTTGCGTGCGCTGCAGGATTTTAATCCATGACGGCATAATGTGTTACTAATGGTTTTCTTTGAGACTGTGGTACCAGCTCTCTTCAGGTCATTGACCAGGTCCTGCCGTGTAGTTCTGGGCTGATCCCTCACCTTCCTCATGATCATTGATGCCCCACGAGGTGAGATCTTGCATGGAGCCCCAGACCGAGGGTGATTGACCGTCATCTTGAACTTCTTCCATTTTCTAATAATTGCGGCAACAGTTGTTGCCTTCTCACCAAGCTGCTTGCCTATTGTCCTGTAGCCCATCCCAGCCTTGTGCAGGTCTACAATTTTATCCCTGATGTCCTTACACAGCTCTCTGGTCTTGGCCATTGTGGAGAGGTTAGAGTCTGTTTGATTGAGTGTGTGGACAAGTGTCTTTTATACAGGTAACGAGTTCAAACAGGTGCAGTTAATACAGGTAATGAGTGGAGAACAGGAGGGCTTCTTAAAGAAAAACTAACAGGTCTGTGAGAGCCGGAATTCTTACTGGTTGGTAGGTGGTCAAATACTTATGTCATGCAATACAATGCAAATTAATTACTTAAAAATCATACAATGTGATTTTCTGGATTTTTGTTTTAGATTCCGTCTCTCACAGTTGAAGTGTACCTATGATTAAAAAAATTACAGACCTCTACATGCTTTGTAAGTAGGAAAACCTGCAAAATCGGCAGTGTATCAAATACTTGTTCTCCCCACTGTATATATAACTATTAAAAAAAAAAAATTCATATCCTATTTTCCATCATTATTAATTAATATGCGTAATAATGTCGTCAGTTCATGCGTAGGATTTTAACATATAACCCGGATAGCCATTGTATTACATTTAATTTATTGACAAGCAATTATTATCCTAGGAAATAATTCCCGTGGTCCATCCCATACCCCCCCTCCCCCAACATCCCCACAACAGATGCCAGACAAACACACACGCACATACTCACAAACTCCAACACACTCAACCCCCCTCCTCCACAATCCACCATAAAATCAGATACTCAACGGCTGTTACAGTGGGGGAAAAAAGTATTTAGTCAGCCACCAATTGTGCAAGTTCTCCCACTTAAAAAGATGAGAGAGGCCTGTAATTTTCATCATAGGTACACGTCAAATATGACAGACAAATTGAGAAAAAATCATCCAGAAAATCACATTGTAGTATTTTTAATGAATTTATTTGCAAATTATGGTGGAAAATAAGTATTTGGTCACCTACAAACAAGCAAGATTTCTGGCTCTCACAGACCTGTAACTTCTTTAAGAGGCTCCTCTGTCCTCCACTCGTTACCTGTATTAATGGCACCTGTTTGAACTTGTTATCAGTATAAAAGACACCTGTCCACAACCTCAAACAGTCACACTCCAAACTCCACTTTGGCCAAGACAAAAGAGCTGTCAAAGGACACCAGAAACAAAATTGTAGACCTGCACCAGGCTGGGAAGACTGAATCTGCAATAGGTAAGCAGCTTGGTTTGAAGAAATCAACTGTGGGAGCAATTATTAGGAAATGGAAGACATACAAGACCACTGATAATCTCCCTCGATCTGGGGCTCCACGCAAGATCTCACCCCGTGGGGTCAAAATGATCACAAGAACGGTGAGCAAAAATCCCAGAACCACACGGGGGGACCTAGTGAATGACCTGCAGAGAGCTGGGACCAAAGAAACAAAGCCTACCATCAGTAACACACTACGCAGCCAGGGACTCAAATCCTGCAGTGCCAGATGTGTCCCCCTGCTTAAGCCAGTACATGTCCAGGCCCGTCTGAAGTTTGCTAGAGTGCATTTGGATGATCCAGAAGAGGATTGGGAGAATGTAATATGGTCAGATGAAACCAAAATATAAATTTTTGGTAAAAACTCAACTCGTCGTGTTTGGAGGACAAAGAATGCTGAGTTGCATCCAAAGAACACCATACCTACTGTGAAGCATGGGGTGGAAACATCATGCTTTTGGGCTGTTTTTCTGCAAAGGGACCAGGACGACTGATCCGTGTAAAGGAAAGAATGAATGGGGCCATGTATCGTGAGATTTTTAGTGAAAACCTCCTTCCATCAGCAAGGGCATTGAAGATGAAACGTGGCTGGGTCTTTCAGCATGACAATGATCCCAAACACACCGCCCGGGCAACGAAGGAGTGGCTTCGTAAGAAGCATTTCAAGGTCCTGGAGTGGCCTAGCCAGTCTCCAGATCTCAACCCCATAGAAAATATTTGGAGGGAGTTGAAAGTCCGTGTTGCCCAGCGACAGCCCCAAAACATCACTGCTCTAGAGGAGATCTGCATGGAGGAATGGGCCAAAATACCAGCAACAGTGTGTGAAAACCTTGTGAAGACTTACAGAAAACATTTGACCTGTGTCATTGCCAACAAAGGCTATATAACAAAGTATTGAGAAACTTTTGTTATTGACCAAATACTTATTTTCCACCATAATTTGCAAATAAATTCATTTAAAATCCTACAATGTGATTTTCTGGATTTTTTTTCTCCTTTTGTCTGTCATAGTTGACGTGTACCTATGATGAAAATTACAGGCCTCTCTCATCTTTTTAAGTGGGAGAACTTGCACAATTGGTGGCTGACTAAATACTTTTTTTCCCCCACTGTATGTTGCTGTCGTAGTTTGTCCATAAATCAGAAAAATGGTATACTAGTTGAAGTTTACATTAAACTATAATATGTATTACGAACAAACAATGTGTCACAATTGGTGGCTGACTAAATACTTTTCCCCCCGACTGTATTTGTAATGTATAAAATGACCCAATAATTTAATTTGGATGCATTTTGGTAATGAGAATTTGGGATGGAAATGAACAAAATTCAGGTGAAAATGTGAAATGTATTTAAAATAAGACACTTTGCCAAAAACGAGACATCTTAGTCCTCAGAATGACACTGTAGTTGATCCTTTCAGATGCATCATGGTTTAGCAACTCAAATTGCTAAAACTGGTTTCATGAGAATCACCCACACATACAGCATCGCTCTCGTAACCGTGTCACCCTCCGTTGCAGCGACATATGACATGTGAGATGCATACATATCTCAGTCAGCGTTAATGTGCTCTTCACGCCTGTGTGTGTGTCAGCGTTAATGTGCTCTTCATGACTCTCAGGTGGGAAAGGCATTACCATATAAAGAGGTCCCTTCGTCAATACAGCAAGATGGGATGAATGGATGAAAAATAAAAAGGCAGAGAGAGAGATGGAGGGAGGCTGATAGCTGACTCGAAGAACTTCTTCTTTCTGTATCCGTCTCTCTCCTTTTTGCTTATTTTTCACCATCACTTGCTCAATCCTCTGAGTCAATACATGTTAAATTCACCTTTGGCAGAGATTATAGCTGTGAGTCTTTCTGGGTAAATCTCTAAGAGCTTTGCACACCTGGATTCTACAATATTTGCACATTATTACTAAAAAAATTCTTCAAGCTCTGTCAAGTTGGTTGTTGATTATTGCTAGGCAGCCATTTTCATGTCTTGCCATAGATTTTCAAGCCGATTTTAAGTCAAAACGATAACTAGGCCACTCAGGAACATTCAATGTGAATGTCAACATTCAAAGGGTATATAACAAAGTATTGAGAAACTTTTGTTATTGACCAAATACTTATTTTCCACCATAATTTGCAAATAAATTCATTTAAAATCCTACAATGTGATCTTCTAGATTTTTTTTCCTCATTTTGTCTGTCATAGTTGACGTGTACCTATAATGAAAATTACAGGCCTCTCTCATCTTTTTAAGTGGGAGAACTTGCACAATTGGTGGCTGACTAAATACTTTTTCCCCCCACTGTATATCCCAGAGCCCAACTCAAGAAAGAACCTGATTTACAAGTGCACATACAGTTAAAGCTGATTGAGAAAGCATGCAGATTGAGCAGAAATTGACAACAATGTGAGATTTGATTAATCTACTTAATCTAAGTCCTAGGTGATGGAGATCAGATCCACCCTCTTCACCTGAGACACAAACACTCTGATCCCCTGTTGTAACCAGCTATTCTTAGTGAGCACTCCATTGCACGTTCTTGGGATGTCTGGGAATGCACAAGAACTTGTGGACCTCGCATATTGGGCTTTGAGCGGATAGATATTTCTCGTTCTCACCTGTTTTGGGGATACGTTTGCTCTAAATAGCTGTGTTTTGTGTCATAGTGGCGCTTCACATTGGCACTTTTCATAAAGCGCTACGGACTCTGAGCATATCAGGCACATTGGTTCTGAACTTGTTGTGGGGAGAATGAATGCGTACTTGTCTGTCCACTCGTCTTTGAAAATGCGATTTTCACTAGCAACTTTTATTTTCTTTGAACAAGCCATCCTCACATTCACAATGTCTATCGATGGACATATTTCCATGTGTGTCTGCCTGCTGCTTGCTCCCAGTCCCAACGCAATCTTTCACTGTTGAAAATATTTGCATATATTTATGCGATTGGATGAGACTAATTTGCATAAATGCATCCGATTGGATAGGATGCGGCCCCAGCCTGGTGTTTCTTCACCACTGCTAGAGACGGAGAGAGGCTACGCTGCACTTGGGAAACTGCGCCCGGTCAATCATGTTTAAAAGCTGTCTGAAATTAATTTACTGACTTTGATATATTTTGGTGCTGTTCGGTCCGTATTGTCCCTTTGCTGGGTCCGGATACGGACCGCGGTCCACCATTTGTGTTTGACTGCCCTATCCCATCTGGACAAGAGCATTACCTATGTAAGAATGCTGCTCATTGACTACAGCTCAGCTTTCAATACCATAGTACCCTCCAAGCTCAACATTAAGCTCAGGGCCGCCCCCAGGTGGTGAAGGTAGGAAACAACACCTCCAGTACGTTGATCCTCAAAACAGAGGCCCCACAAGTTTGCATGCTCAGCCCCCTCCTGTACTCCCTGTTCACCTATGACTATGGCCTCGCACGCCTCCAACTCAAATCATCAAGCTTGCAGACGATACAACAGTGGTAGGCCTGATTACCAACAACAACGAGACAGCCCACAGGGAGGAGGTGAATGCCCTGGCAGAGTGGTGCCAGGAAAACAACCTCGCCCTCAATGTCAACAAAATGAAGGAGCTGATCGTGGACTTCAGGAGACAGCAGAGGGAGCACGCCCCCATCCACATAGATGGGACCGCAGTGGAGAAGATGAAAAGCTTCAAGTTCCTTGGCGTACACATCACTGACAATCTGAAATGGTCCACCCACACTGGAAAATAATAAAAGGAAAAGAAGGAAATAAAGGAAACTACAAAAAAAAAAAAAAAGAATCCTCACAAAGAGTTGATTTCCCCCCATTCATTCCCACACCGATTCATTAGTACACAGCGTAGCAAATCATTTCGCAAGGGACAAAATTTCGCAATTAAAACTAGAGTTTCCTATTGGACAAATTTGGGTAGTCTCTCCCCGTTTCAGTCAGTTTTCTACCATTTGGTGCCTAATGAACAACCCCGGAGCCATATAAATGGGTACGCAACAGCGCCTTCCTTTTACAGATGCACCATTGAGAGCATCCTGACGGGCCGTATCACCGCCTGGTATGGCAACTGCACCATCCGCAACAGCAGTGCTCTCCAGAGGGTGGTGCGTTCTTCCCAATAAATCACAGGGGGAACACTGCCTGCCCTCCAGGACATCTACAGCACCCGGTGTTACAGGAAGGCCAAAAAGATCATCAAGGACCTCAGCCACCCGAGCCATGGCCTGTTCACCCCACTATCACCCAGAAGGCGAGGTCAGTACAGGTGCATCAAAGCTGGGACAGAGAGACTGAAAAACAGCTTCTATCTCAAAGGCCATCAGACTGTTAAATGGCCATCACTAGCCGGCCTCCACCCAGTACCCTGCCCTAAACTTAGTCACTGTCACTAGCCGGCTACCACCCTGTTACGCAACCCTGCACCTTAGAGGCTGCTGCCCTATGTACATAGACATGGAACACTGGTCACTTTAATAATGCTTACATACTGTTCTAGTCATTTCATATGTATAATAATGTATTCTAGTCAATGCCATCCTATTCTACTATTGCTGTACATATACTATTCTATCCTACGTATTCTACAGACATAGTACATATTCTATCCACACTGTCCATAATGTCTATACATCCCAACACACACTTATACTCCGGACTCCAACATTGCTCATCCTAATATTTATTTATTTATTCCATTATTTTACTTTTAGATTTGTGTGTATTGTTGTTATATAGATATTACTGCAGTGTTGGAGCTAAGAACACAAGCATTTCGCTACACCCGCAATAACATCTGCTAAATATGTGTATGCGACCAATAAAATGTGATTTGATCTTGTCTCTAATCTCTACATTACTCTCTGGACCCAGGGCCACATACAAGACTCTTGTCCATATCTCCACAACCTTTACTCAGTCTGGCCATGTGTCTGCAGAGTAAGCTGGGTGGGTCAGTATGTTGGTAGATACTGGAATAAGTTAAGTGGCTTTAGGGGCCAGAATGTGGAAAAACTGGTAACACTCGTGACAGTTACAAAGACTGGATGCCTTTAGTAGTCTCCAAATACCCCAGGGTTCTCTCTCGCCCTCTGTAAAGGAAGGTTGCCTAAAGGAGGTTTTAGGCCTAAATGCAGAGATAACACATGCTTGTTGCCCCAGGGTCCACAAAGAGAGTCCATACAGATAGCTGTTCATCACTGGTTAATGGAAAACTAGTTAGGCCTAAACCAACGACAACTAACTAGGTTTCCCCAATACATCTACAGTACAGTACTGGATTGGCAAGTTAATGTAACAAAGAACAGTAAGAAACAAATGGGTCTGACAGACAATGTCAATGATAACAAAACATTCCAGCTAGGCTACTTCCCTAAGTATTATGGTAATTGACTCACTAGCTAGCTAAAGCTACATCAAACACAATATTTTAAAATGGTTTCATAAAAAGATGGTGGTGCTTGCTTGACCGGATAGCTTTCATGCCAATCCAAAACCCCATCCAAAATGCAAAAGGCACCTCCTCTCCTGCGCATCAAAGCAAGGTTACCTAAACCAGAGATAATACTAATATACGTGGCTAAACTGAGCTAACTAACTGAAACTAGGCTTAGCTAGCTGGTTATACGGGACTCTCACCTATCGCCACCCTGGGTCTGGCGTTGTTTATCCCCACTTTGCTTTCAGCCCGCAGCAGGGAGGACAGCACCGTGTCCAGACGGTCATCCAGCCTTGACTCCCCGGGAGGTCGGAACCAGTACGCCAGCAGAACCATTGCAAGGGACGCTGCCGTCCCATACTTCATGAATGAAAACCCGCTTCCTCGCTCCATGGCCAGCAGTGGCTGCGGACTCGCTAGCACTCCTACAGCAGCAACGACGAGAACAGCGCTAACTTGACTTGTAAACAAACAAGATTTACAAGGCAAGTGTGCCTGGCGAGGCAAACAAACTGGATTTACAAGACAATTGTCCCCCGGGGTGGCAGTTGAGTTGGTGGTTTCAAGCGTGAATGCTGCAGGGTCAACCTCAGTCGCTGCGGAGGGGGAGTGACAACAAAGCGGAAGTAGCTAACAACCTAGCTCGGGGTGGGCACATATTCTTCGGTCGTCACTAGTTACCACAGCCACAAAGTCATAAACCCCGCCCATTTCTACAATTTATCTTCTTAAAATGTGATATTAAACTATTTGTGGTTGTGTGGTAACTAGTGGAAACCAGACTCTTCGGCTTGCAGTTTGAGCTAGTCTTTACAGTTGCTGTGGAAGAGACTTTTGAGCTAGCTAGACAGTATTTCCAGGGATGGGCATAACTTACAATGACAAAATACAACTGCAAAATATCCTAAAGACCAATGTATCAAAATAAAATATAAATACTTTTGCAAAGTATTTTATTTAATAAAATAAAAAATAAAAAAATACAGAAATAGATTTGCAAGTAGCAGCAACAACATTATCAGTAATGGTCACAGAAACGTCTTACTTGCTATGACTGTGATATGTTTAAGCAATAAGGCACGAGGGGGTGTGGTATATGGCCAATATACCACAGCTAAGGGCTGTTCTTATGCAAAGCAAAGCAGAGTGCCTGGATACTGCCCTTAGCTGTAGTATATTGGCATTATACCACAAACCCAGGAGGTGCCTTATTGCTATTATAAACTGGTTACCAACGTAATTAGAGCAGTAAAAATAAATGTTTTGTCATACCCGTGGTATACAGTCTGTTATAAACTGGGTGGTTCGACCCTGAATGCTGATTGGCTGACAGTCGTAGTATATCACAGGTATGACAAAACATTTATTTTTACTGCTCTAATTAAGTTAGTAACCAGTTCATAATAGCAATAAGGCACCTCGGGGGTTTGTGGTATATGGCTAATATACCACGGCTAAGGGCTGTATCCAGGCACTCCGCGTTGCGTCGTGCTTAAGAACAGCCCTTAGCTGTGGTATATTGGCCATATACCACACCCCCTCGTGCCTTATTGCTTAAATATACCACGGCTGTCAGCCAATCAGCATTCAGGGCTCGAACCACCCAGTTTATAATGTTATTTATCTACCTTAGTTGAATGCACTGTCACTCTGGATAAGAGCGTCTGCTAAATTACCAAAATGTTAATGTATATGTAAAAATTAACAACTGCAAAGCACACTGGGAATTGTCATTGGCCTTGTTTCGGGGTGGAGCTCATTAGAGTAATACTCAGCATGCTTTGCAATTGTTAATTTTTACATATACATTTAGTTAATTTAGCAGACGCTCTTATAATAATAATATAATATGCCATTTAGCAGACGCTTTTATCCAAAGCGACTTACAGTCATATGTGCATACATTTTTAAGTATGGGTGGTCCTGGGGATCGAACCCACTACCCTGGCATTACAAGCACCATGCTCTACCAATTGAGCTACAGAGGACCATATTGCCATCAGACTTGTGATACCAATGTAGGGTGAAAGGTGGCCACAAAATTGTGAACCGCTATAAAGAAATGGTATAGAAAAGTATTTTGTATTTTGAAAATACTAATTACAGCTTTTGAAAGTATCTTGTCACAAAATACATTGGAGTGTAGTTCAGCCCAGTGTAAAACAACATACAACATACTCAGAAGTAATTCAAATACGTATTTCAAATACATGTAACAGAAATACTACCCATCTCTGAGTATTTCTAGTAGATTCTCGCCTACTCATGTAGACAAATTAAGTCCCTAGCTAATTTTGGATGATTCTTTTTTTTTTTAAAGTCTGAAAACAATGTTGGATCCATTGGTTGGATCAGCGGTACCGGAGGTCAGATAAGTGCGCACAACGTTGTATCGCCCTCTTGCGGTGACTCTGCTAGACATTCTAGAATGGGTTTTTACAGTGTTCTACTCCAGTGGTTCCCAACCTTTTCCGCTTACTGTACCACCAACTGAATTTAGCTCTGCACGGCGTACCCTTGATGTACCCCCTCATGCACATTTTGACAGTAAGCCTATGGGCTCATGAGTCCTCTCAAGTACCCACTGTGGATAAGCCTAGTACCCCTGTGTTGGGAACCTCTGTTCTACTCTGCTTAAGTGGTGGAACATAAACACATACATTTTCAGCCATTTTATTCATACCTTTCAAAAAGGGCATCACTATCACTTTCCCTCCACAGAATGTGAGAAAGGGAATAAAGTAAGTAAAGTAAGTATTTGGTCAGCTTTTTCCCTTCTTATTTTTATATTTTTTTCCTCATAACAAAATACAAAACATAGCAAGGAATAAAAAAGAAACAAACAAAAACAGGTTTTAGTCTGTTACAAAATGTTACACATTGTCTCAGACAGTACAAGTCAGACCAAATACTTGAAATGTGTCCATCCACTAACACTTAGACAAGCAAGCCTCACTCCAATCTCCTGCTTTTTTACAGAGCATCATTCTAATTGTATTCCTTTTTTGTATCACACATTATTCCTTAATAAAAGTCTACCTAGACCTAATATCTGACATCTGCAATGAAATTGGTTGTTGAAAAAAAACATTTTACAACATCTCAAACCATATAACAGGGACTTGTTGCCCTTGCATCAGACTTGATTGTGAAGGTGACCACAGTCCATTCTGTTGTCCACCTCATATTAAAACACACGTTAGAGACTTGACTCATAAATAAAATCTACCGGTACCTTCTACTCTAATATCGTTCAAGGGGAAAGAAATTGTGCCTTATGATTCCATGGAAGCAGAAATAGAAAATATTTACATGACAGTCAAGCTAGGTTGGTCTGGCCTGGTTCCATGGTCCTCTGCTCTCTACTACGCCACACTAACACAACATAGTTCTGTCAGGCCAGGGGTGTATTCAGAAGTCGGTTTCCGTAGTCAAATGTTTTGCAACGGAAAACGTTTACTCCAAACGGAAAACGTTTTGCAACGGAAACTATAGTTTCTATTGGACAAATTCAGGTAGGTCCCTCCCCATTTTGTTCTGTTTGCTTCTGTTTGGTTCCTAGCGAATACACCCCAGGTTCATAATACTACAGTGCCTTCAGAAAGTATTCACACCTCTTAACTTTGTGTTTCAGCCTGAATTTAAAATGGATTACATTCAGATTTTTTTGTCACTGGCCTACAAACAATACCCCATAATGTCAAAGTGGAATTACGTTTTACTTACAAATTAAAAATTGAAATGTCTTTAGTCAATAAGTATTCAATCCCTTTGTTATGGCAAGCCTAAATAAGTTCTGGAGTACAAATTTGCTTAACAAGTCACATAATAAGTTGCATCAACTCACTCTGTGTGCAATAATAGTATTGAACACAATTTTTTTTATGACTACCTCATCTCTGTACACCACACATACAATTATCTGTAAGGTCCCTTAGTCGAGCAGTGAATTTCAAACACAGATTCAACCACAAAGACCAGGGAGGTTTTCCAATGCCTTAAAAAAAAGAAGCTGACATTGAATATCCCTTTGAGCATGGTGAAGTTATTAATTACAGTTTGGATGGTGTATCAATACACCCAGTCACTACAAAGATACAGGCGTCCTTCCTAACTCAGTTGCCAGAGAGGAAGGAAACCACTCATGGATTTCACCATGAGGCCAATGGTGACTTTAAAATAGTTAAAGCGTTTAATGGCTGTGATAAGAGAAAACTGAGGATGGATCAACAACATTGTAGTTACTCCACAATACTAACCTAATTGACAGAGTGAAAAGAAGGAAGCCTGTACAGAATAAAAATATTCCCAAAACTGTATCGTTTGCAACAAGGCACTAAAGTAATACTGCAAATAAAAGTTTGTCCTGAATACAAATAGTTAGTTTGGGGCAAATCCAATACAACACATTACTGAGTACCACTCTTCATATTTTCAAGCATAGTGGTGGCTGCATCATGTTATGGGTATGCTTGTAATCATTAAGGACTGGGGAGTTTTTCAGGAAAGAAAAATAAACAGAATGGAGCTAAGCACAGGCAAAGTCCTAGAGGAAAAGCTGCTTCAGTATGCTTTCCACCAGACACTGGGAGATGAATTCACCTTTCAGCAGGACAATAACCTAAAATACAAGGCCAAATCTACACTGAAGTTGCTTACCAAGAAGACAGTGAATGTTCCTGAGTGGCCAAGATACAGTTTTGACTTAAATCTACTTGAAAATATATGGCAAGACCTGAAAATGGTTATCTAGCAATGATCAACAACCAATTTGACAGAGCTTGAAGAATTTTGAAAAGAATAATGGGCAAATGTTGCACAATCCAGATGCGGAACGCTCTTAGAGACTTACCCAGAAAGACTCACAGCTGTAACCGCTGCCAAAGGTGCTTCAACAAAGTATTGACTCAGGGGTGTGAATACTTATCTAAATGAGATTTTTCTGTTTTTCATTTTCAATACATTTGCAAACATTTCTAAAAACATGTTTTTACTTTGTCATTATGGGATATTGTGTGTAGATGGGTGAGATTTAAAAAATATATTTAATCTACTTTGAATTCTAGCTGTAACACAACAAAATGTGGAATAAGTCAAGGGGTATGAATACTTTCTGAAGGCACTGTAAATAATGAGCCTTGGTCAGTCATTTTATACAGCTTATACACCGAGTAAAAAGCTGTGAGTTGACAATAATAACTATTTCAATACACCAACCCACTCTAGGCTATGTCCCACACGACTGCTGAAACAGTAGACAGTAGTAACATTTACTTCAGCTTGATTTAAACACTTCGCTGAGAAGTCAGGGTTATTACACTGTGTTGGTCCCAATACATTTTGGCCCAATCTACAGTTCAATTCAATAAATACAACAAAAACAACAGTTTTACATGATTTTGGTTCTCTCCAATAGGCAATTATTTGACAAACAGGGGTTTTAAGCGCCAACAGTAAACACACACACTACATACACAGGATGCTCCCCTATTGAAACATTTCACTCTTGGACTTACATGATCAATCTGGTCTTTAGCAGCTTTGTCTGAATGAACCCAGCTTAAATATTCCAGTGGAACTCACACCAAGGTCTTGCCTTCACAAAAAGCACTGATTCAAGGCAATTTGATTTCCAAATGTCAATGAAAAGTATGCACTTTGACAGTTCAAAAAATAAAACCAACAAAAATGACCCCATCCACAAAAAAATGACTACCTTTTATAACAGTTCTACAATAAAATGACTGTAAATCGCTTTGGATAAAAGCGTCTGCTAAATGGCATATTATTATTATTATTATTATAAAAAATAATTTCTAAAGTATTTACATAAACAACTAAAGGCCTTAAATCGTTACTTAAATTAAATTACTATGGAATCTTAAGCACTTTAAAGCATCGTACTGTAGGATAAAAACCTGTCTATTTGTGGGACTATGTGTCACTGTCAATATGGGCCTTCTAGGGCTTACCAAAGGGATTTGAGCCTTTAGCTCCAAACTCCTAGTTCTACTGCTAACAGTAGGCTATCAGAGATGTTGAAAACAGGGTCATGTTCAGGATGGTGCAATATACTGAACGTTGCAGATAGAACTGTCTTGAATAGAGCTGACATGATTCCTTACACTAAGTGTCTGAAAGGCAGGTTTGTTCTACACAGTAATGTTTTTACATTGCTGTGTAGCATCTTTAAGCTGGGTTCACTCAGACAAACCTGCTAAGGACCAGGTTGATCATGTAAGTCCAAGAGTGAAATGTTTCATGTTGGTACTTATAACCCAGTTTTTCGAAGAATTGTCTATTGGAGAGACCCACATTGATGTAAAACTGTTGTTTTGTTGTACTTCTTGAATTGAACTGTGGTGCAACTGCCGCCCCTCATGCTGAGTTCAGCTTTTTTGTGACCCCCACCCCCATCGGATATAAAAACATTACTGTGTAGAACAAACCTGCCGCTCGGACACGTAGTGTAAGGAATCATGTCAGCTCTATTCATGACAGTTCTATCCCAGAGTGCTGCTAATTTTGTGCAATTCTGCACGTTTAGCCATGGGGTGTAGAGAAAATGTTGCAATTTTATAACTGATTTCATGCCATTCTACTAATCTTGCCATGGGGCAGAGAGGAAAATTAGCAGTTATAAATATGATATCTGAGTGAGACTGACTAACAAAATCCATGGGGGCCCCCCAGGAGGTAATTCGACCATGATTACTAATTGAGTCACTATCAGTGACTGACATTACAAACGATAAACTGCTGATGCACAACCACATTTTGAAATTGGTCCGAGGGCCTTCAAAAGGGGGGCGGGCCGCCTATTGCCCATCCCTGATCTGAATGTTGGATAACGTTGTGCTCTACTGAACGCACCCCAGGCATCATGGAGTGGCCCATCTGCTCTGGTACGGAGTACTGGGTAAGTGACCACTCAAGATAGATAAAGGAGTGCCTTACTGGACGGCCTTGGTCTTAAGATTGGATGTATGAGCCACAGATACAGGATATAGCTAGACATTTTACTCATTTTTAACAAGACAGCTACTCTATCTGAGAGGGTGCTTCTCATATCAAAGGCTCTTCTAATACCTTTGACATTCAAACATTTGGATTTGCATACCAAGTAAGATGCACCATTGACAGCAATTCCTGTGTTTATTGTAAACGTTGGCTGTCTGTTAGTTAAATTACACTTACATATATTTTTTAAGCATATCATTTTTTATTACAGCTTAAACTTCACTTTACTTACTAGAAACTAACGTATTTGCAGCAAGACTAGAATTACGACACCTCACGAATGCCACGTGTCTAAAGTGAGTGCTAGCCTCTCCTGATTCTTAAAAACATAAAACAACTTAATATGAAGCAAAAAATCAGAAAGAAATATCTATCATCATTGTAGTAAAAAGTACATCTTTACAGATAAAAACACAGAACCCTGAAAATATTTTTGAAGAGACATCACATGCTGGATGAAAGCCAAGGTTTCTGAAGGCGAACGTTCGAGAGCTCCGGCCCTGAAACGTAAAAGCAATACACAAAACCAAAACGCAGAAAGAAAAGGAGCCCAGAAAGCGTTCGTTGTCTTTGTCTCGGAACCCGCAGTCCATCTCAGCAGTGGAATGCTCTTTCTTCCTAAAACGAAGGAAGAGGAGAGGAAAAAGGAGGAGGGGGAGAAGGTAAAATGGAGAGTAACGGGATTCGCCGGGGTGGACGGGATGTGTCTGTGTGCTGTCAGTCAGTCTCTCTACCACACATGCTCAGTAGTATCCTGGGTGGTACTGTTGGCTCCATGGCTTCTGGTTCCAGAACTAAAGATGGAAGACAGAGGTTAAAGGTAAGAGTTTTTAACCATTCCATTGGTCCTAAGGTGCAACGTCCAGCTCCATCAGGAGCAGTACATACCCCCTGCTGCCAGCTCTGGTTGAAGGCCTGAGCCTTGTTCATGCCAAAGTTGCTGTTCTTGTTGAAGCCGCGATTGTTGCCTCCTCTGCCTCTGAACTTCTGCAGAAAACACAACAGCCATTAGACACCTGGGACTGCCAGCTGACCTCCAGTACAATTGGTGAGTTATACAAATGTACTGTATGTTGTTGTTATATACAGAAACCTATATAGAAATTAAATAATCCAACAATCCACTCTAGCTGATAGTCAGACTCGGTGTAGTCGTAGTCAAGGATACTATCAGGTAACTAGTGACCCACCTGTGTGAAGTTGCCCCTGTTGTCCCCACGTCCTCTTCCACCTCCACCTCCTCCGCGGGTTATGCTGCCTCTGTGCATATTGCCTCCCCTGTTACCCCCCATGTTCCCCATGTTGACCCTGCCATGACCACCCCTAGGTGCGACCCCCCTGCTGGGCATGCCCCCGCCCCCCCTGTTGAAGTTGCCCCGGTTGGAGAAGCCCCCTCGGAAGGCCGGAGGAGGGAGGAAACCTCTGGGAGGACGACTGAATCCACCACGAGGTCCTGGGCCTGGGCAGAGACAAACACACAGATCAATATATATATTGTACATACCAAGTACACAAACATACAGACATACACCTCAGGTATTAGAGTTACTTGCAGAGTCAAATACACACTGCTCACCTCCCCTGAAGTTGCTTCTGATCTGGAAGCCTCCTCGCCCCCCCCTCTGTCCCTGACCTCCTCCCCACTGCCCCTGCCCTCTGCCCCCACGGCCGCGGTGGTTGCCCCCTCTCTTGGGCGGCGTGCCACCCTGGTTGGCCTTCTTCTCTGGGGGCAGGGCGGAGCGACTCTCCTCCTTGTACAAGTCCAGCAGCTTGGAGGCCTCGTCCTTCTGCAGCTCCACGAAGCTCACCTCACTGAAGCAATCCCCTGGCTCCGGCAGGGTGTAGATGCCTACAGGGGGAAGGGAGGGAAACAGTCAGATATATCAACCCCTACCAAATCAGTCGGTCAGCCCGAATAGAAGTGTCTGCCAAAGGACTAAAATGTAATGTAAGCTCTCATGTGTTATTGATACAGGTAACAGGTGTTATGGCTGTCAGGTGTTCTAGGCTGCTGTAGCTCACCTTTCATCTTGAGTACGGCGTGCTCGGGGACGTCTTTCCCGTCCGTCTCGGCTTTCTTCTGTGTCCTCTGCTTGTAGTCGTCGTCAGTAGGACACACCACCACAGCCTTCCTCTGGAAGCCTGCAAACAGACACATCTTCCTCCTCTGGGCCGGGGCCGACACATTGGTCTGGCAGAGAGAGAGAGGGAAGAGAGACAGGTACAAGAGTTAAAGTCATATCCAACCATACACCTACTGAAATCATTCCATTTTCACACTGCCATACAACCGAGTAGTATTTGTTTCTCATGATGATGCTGACTTAATAAAATTTTGTTTGTTCACAAGGCATCTAAATATTCAAAAACAACGACAATTGAAACGATACACAAAAATAAAAGCTTCAGTGTGGGTAACCATGGTTACCTGGTCCAGGATGTAGTTGCGCTTTTTGCGAGCAGCGATCTCAATGAATTTTCCCAGGAAAAGAGGTGCACGCTGGGAGATGGCGGTTAGTTTGATGACGTCCTTCATTTGGCGTTTCAGACTGGCGATCTGGCAAAGGAGAATAGAGAATTTTGAGGTATGGAATCATCTGACTTTGGGGTAACTGTACCTTCAACCTGAACTGCCCCTTTACGGTGAGCTGTCCCTTTCAGCTGAACTGACCCTTTACGGTGAGCTGTCCCTTTCAGCTGAACTGCCCCTTTACGGTGAGCTGTCCCTTTCAGCTGAACTGCCCCTTTACGGTGAGCTGTCCCTTTCAGCTGAACTGCCCCTTTACGGTGAGCTGTCCCTTTCAGCTGAACTGACCCTTTACGGTGAGGTGTCCCTTTCAGCTGAACTGCCCCTTTACGGTGAGCTGTCCCTTTCAGCTGAACTGCCCCTTTACGGTGAGGTGTCCCTTTCAGCTGAACTGCCCCTTTACGGTGAGGTGTCCCTTTCAGCTGAACTGCCCCTTTACGGTGAGCTGTCCCTTTCAGCTGAACTGCCCCTTTACGGTGAGCTGTCCCTTTCAGCTGAACTGCCCCTTTACGGTGAGGTGTCCCTTTCAGCTGAACTGCCCCTTTACGGTGAGCTGTCCCTTTCAGCTGAACTGCCCCTTTACGGTGAGCTGTCCCTTTCAGCTGAACTGCCCCTTTACGGTGAGCTGTCCCTTTCAGCTGAACTGCCCCTTTACTGTGAGGTGTCCCTTTCAGCTGAACTGGCCCTTTACGGTGAGCTGTCCCTTTCAGCTGAACTGCCCCTTTACGGTGAGCTGTCCCTTTCAGCTGAACTGCCCCTTTACGGTGAGGTGTCCCTTTCAGCTGAACTGCCCCTTTACGGTGAGGTGTCCCTTTCAGCTGAACTGCCCCTTTACGGTGAGGTGTCCCTTTCAGCTGAACTGCCCCTTTACGGTGAGGTGTCCCTTTCAGCTGAACTGCCCCTTTACGGTGAGCTGTCCCTTTCAGCTGAACTGCCCCTTTACGGTGAGGTGTCCCTTTCAGCTGAACTGCCCCTTTACGGTGAGCTGTCCCTTTCAGCTGAACTGCCCCTTTACGGTGAGGTGTCCCTTTCAGCTGAACTGCCCCTTTACGGTGAGCTGTCCCTTTCAGCTGAACTGCCCCTTTACGGTGAGGTGTCCCTTTCAGCTGAACTGCCCCTTTACGGTGAGGTGTCTCTTTAAGGTGAACTGTCCTGTCCCTTTAAGCTGAACTGCTGAACTGTAGAACTGTCCTTTCCCTTTCAGCATCACTCACCATCATCTTCTCCAGGATGGTGTTGGTTCCCAGGATGTTGTATTTCCCTGGGTGCTCCTGAGTGTGCTTGGTGACCCATGCCGTCTTCCCAGCGCCAGGCAGCCCTACCATCACGATCACCTGGGAGAGTAAGAGACATTTGAATCATGGCTGCAACGAAAATACCACATGGGCATTCAATAATATGAAATCCAGCACGCACTCACCTCACAGTCGTCCTTGGCGTCGGGCCCCTTGGGGCCTCGGACCCTCTTGCTCACGGGGACCTGCTGTAGGAAGCAGTAGCCGGCCGGTGGGACGAACAGTGGTGCCTCCCTCTGGCCGAAGTTGAACTCTACAGCACAGTTGTGACAGAGGACGTGAGGGAAGAGGGGCCGTCCATCCAGAGATGCCTTGTCCACCTTGAAGGCCACGCCTAGGTCCTGACCGTTCTTACTGAACGACAGCTCTACCTCCGAGCCTTCAAAGTTCTGGAGGGAGGACAAACATCATCATCATCAGTGGAAAAAGCAGCAGCAGCAGTTTTATCTGTTAGCTGATGTTTTTTTTTAGAAACTTCTCTTGAGACAACAAGTGGCTATTTAGCTCTTTGAGCGAAATGTGACAAACAAAGTGATCATTAAAATATCTTACTATCAGGCATCCGACGACATCGTTTTCGTCGAAGCACTCTCCGAAGTCTACTGTGACACAGTTGGTTGTTTTCCTCCCTTTGGCAGAGAAGGCATACGAGTGTTCCTCCTCTCCTGAGGACGTCAAAGCAGACAGTCACACAGTCAGACAAGGAGTTACCATACAACAGCACAACACACCACAGGTTTCCCTTAGCAGATATCAGGAGTCCACTGAATTCTATTGGTTGGTCTAATGGTTCACTCACCCAGTAACAGTGTTCCATTGGCTAGTGACCAGCCCACCAGAACCTCGTGGATGTCCATGCCTTTACTGGAGATATGTTTTACTGGGATCTTCTCGATGATCTGGGGAGAACACACCGAGGGTGAGGAGTGTGTATGGGTGTTTGTCATGATGTTCTGTCTCTTCACCATCTTGAGGCATCAGTGGTTTTAGGCTGAGTATCTGTAAAGCACTTTGTGACAACTGCTGATGTAAAAAGGGATTTATAAAATAAACTTGTTCGATTGATTGATTGATTGACCACGTGTGTGTGTGTGTGTGTGTGTGTGTTGTTGATGATGATGATATCTCTCCTCACCTTCATCTCAAAGCAGGCCCTGCCCTGAGCTACTCCGTAGGAAGCCCTGCCTCCAGCCCACAGGTAGGCAAAGCTCTCCATGGTGAGGGATGACGCGCTGTAACGGTCCCGGGACACCTTGAAGTGCAGGTCACTGTTATCTGTGGTCACACACACACACACACACACACACACACACACACACACACACACACACACACACACTTGTGAACTTCACAGTTCAAGTAAAAAATGTGCACTACTGCAGGTGTGTGTGTGTACTCACAGGTGTCCAGGCAGACAGTGGTGTCGTCAAACTCCTCGTCCTCTTCCTCCAGGGGGGGCTGGGGGGACTTGGCCCTGGAAGAGAGCAGATTAAGGGGTGAGGGGTCAGGCAGGGGAGGACACTGGAGGGACACGTCTCTCACTCAAGTGGGCAAACTTAGGCAGGAAATGCCAACAACAAACAGTGAGCCATCGTACTCATGTATAAAAAAACAGATAATGAAAGAAAAGCATTGCAAGTTTTAATTTTGTAAAGTTAGTGTGGGAGAGGTGATTAAAAACATTATTGTTATCGATCAATAATGACAAACCTCCTGGCATTGACACCTTAGATGGAAAGCTACTGAGGATGGTAGTTGACTCCATTGCCACTCCTATCTGTCATATCTTTAATCTGAGCCTAGAGGAAAGTCTTTGTCCTTTGGATTCAGAGCTATCTATCTAATAGAACTCAGAGGGTATTCTTTAATGGAAGCTTCTCTAATGTCAAACATGTAAAGTGTGGTGTACCGCTGGGCATCTCTCTAGGCCTCTACTCTTTTCTATTTTTACCAATGACCTGCCACTGGCATTAAACAAAGCATGTGTGTCCATGTATGCTGATGATTCAACCATGTATGCATCAGCAACCACAGCTAATGAAGTCACTGAAACCCTTAACAAAGAGTTGCAGTCTGTTTTGGAATGGGTGGCCAGTAATAAACTGGTCCTGAACATCTCTAAAACTAAGAGCATTGCATTTGGTACAAATCATTCCCTAAGTTCTAGACCTCAGCTGAATCTGGTAATGAATGGTGTGGCTGTTGAACAAGTTGAGGAGACTAAATTACTTGGTGTTACCTTAGATTGTAAACGGTCATGGTTAGGGCTGTGGCGGTCACGAAATTTCATCAGCCGGTGATTGTCAAGCAAATAACTGTCGGTCTCACGGTAATTGACCGTTAATTAACATCAACACATTTAGCATCTCCTGGCTTCCACACATAGCCTACAAGCCATTTTAATAAGTCTAATAAATCCATGTAATATAGCCCACACCTTCACAATAAATCAATTTTTTTTAGACAGGTCTAAAGAAGCATGATATGAAGAAAATGTAGTCTATTTCAGAAGAAAATAATAGGATACTCTTGAGTTGTCCTTATTTTAGGTCCTGATCTGCCTATGCCAAATGACTGTGGGCTACACTAGTTTAATTTAGCAGACAAGATTTGCTTATGATTCCGTGGCATTATTTTGTATTATTTTATAGTATCAAGAATACAATTGAACAAAGCTGAATAAAAAATAAATATTTTCTCCAAATGATTTGAGGGAGTGCGCACATGCGACTATTCTGTGTTGAGTGGTTAACATTTTATATTTTAGTCATTTAGCAGACGCTCTTATCCAGAGCGACTTACAGTTAGTGAGTGCACACATTTTTCCCCCCCCATACTGCCCCCCTGTGGGAATCGAACCCACAACCCTGGCGTTGCAAGCGCCATGCTCTACCAACTGAGCTACACGGGTACTCCTATATGCTTAATTTAGAGTTATTAATGTAACTTTAGTTATTCTAACAACGTTGGGCTATATGTTTTGATTTTTAATACATTGAAAGGCTGCATGCAAAAGTCGCTTGAAAAGGCATGAGCTCTGCTTAGTTTTTTGCGCAGGCTGTACACACTCCAATAGTCTCTCATTCACAATTTGACAAGCATTTGATAATGCCTCAAATTTCACGGCGGCATCCCCTTTGTGGCCGTAATGCACCCTAAAAAAATCCATGCCTTTTGCGGCGCGTAGTGCTGCATTGTGCCCTTCTCCCGGAGTGTGCTGCGCAATCCGAAACGTCTCTAACTCGCACTGCTCTCCTTCACGTGATCAGGTTTTTCTCACTGGCTACAAGTTAAGACAGACACATCCGGGACGCAACTGCACGCGTTCTTATCCAATTCCGAGGTGCATATTGAAAATGTTGGAAGAACTGTCCACATTTACTTTTCGTCAGCCAACAAGATGAGTAGGCCTTACGAACAGCAAATGCACTAGCCTATGTCAATCTACTATCCCCCATAGTACAAAAATCGACCTATTATATTCTGTGCGATAAATAAATATTCCAAACATAGTCTGGGACAGTTGCGGGATTCGATAGATCCCAAATTAATACAACCACTAGCATCAAAAAACCTTTTTATGCAATGTGGCTGACGCAACAGATCATAACGTTTAGCTTAAAATGTTGATAAACTATTAGGCTATTTCTTCACATTATAAGCGCAGCAATGCACACATGGTAGTAGGCTATAAGCGCGAATGTTCCAATAGCTGAAAACACCATTATCAAAAGTGACCGCAAATGCAATTATGCATGTAATGCTTTTATTATAAAAGGTGAATTTTTTGGGTGAAAATTATCTTCCCCAAATTTGAAACTCACGCGCTGCTTATATATGCCAGTTAGGCTCTACACCCCTTGTAAAGCGGATTAATGTGCTTAATTTTAAGAAGTTATTTGGCCACTTTAGTTGTGATCCAAACCTTATTAAAACATATAGGCCTATGGGCTAGGCTACATGAGGTGTGCCACTATGATTCGAAAAAGTTGCAAAAAAAAGCTTTGTTTCTTATGCTGGGCAAGTGATAATATATAATTCACAAGTGATAGGCTAATATTGTCACCCATCAGACTATTCTTGATTTCATCTTGTCTTTACTAAATAATATATGTATGACATTTGTTTTGATTTAGAATGGACCATTATCATGCACCTGTATCGAAACAGGTGCAGCGGGAAAAAATAGATGTCATCTATGCACTTAAATAGCAAATGGAGGACGCTTTTCCCCGTGTTTTATTTCATGCCAGCCAGGTAGGCTATACTCCTTTTGTAAATATAAGAAATGTGCTTAATATGAGGAAAGTTGAGAAATAAATATAGTAGGCCTAGCCTATAGAAAGCTGATGGGATCCTCCTCTTTTTATTAGAGGCCATCACTCTGTTTTCTCCCACAATTGCATAGCCTATAGAAATGTTGAGCAACATGAGCTCATGGGCTCTCATGAAGTGTTTGATTAGATTTTCGAAAACATTTGCATTGACGTCAGAGTGATTAGAGGGACAATAGAGTTCTGAGTACCAGGCAGTTAGCAAGTTTGGTAGGCTACTAATGACCAGCAGCAGCATCAGAGCTTGGAGAAGCCTAATTACCGTGACTAAATGGTCATGTGGTATTTGACTGACTTCATGACTCGTGACAGCCGGTGTGGCGGTAATACGGTCACCGCAACAGCCCTAGTCATGGTCAAAACATATAGATTCAGTGGAGGGAGCTGAAGGTTCGAGTTGCCAAACGTCAGCCTCGAAACCTTAATGACTTGGAGAAGATCTGCAAAGAGGAGTGGGACAAAATCCCTCCTGAGATGTGTGCAAACCTGGTGGCAAACTACAAGAAACGTCTGACCTGTGATTGCCAACAAGGGTTTTGCCACCAAGTACTAAGTCATGTTTTGCAGAGGGGTCAAATACTTATTTCCCTCATTAAAATGCTAATCAATTTATAACATTTTTGACATGCGTTTTTCTGGATTTTGTTGGTGTTATTCTGTCTCTCACTGTTCAAATAAACCTACCATTAAAATTATAGACTGATCATTTCTTTGTCAGTGGGCAAACGTACAAAATCAGCAGGGGATCAAATACTTTTTTCCCTCACTGTACATGCCAGTCTAAGAGTTGAGGAAAGACTGACTGCGTCATTTCTTGTTTTTATAAGAAACATGTGTTGGAAATTCCAAATTGTTTGCATAGTCAACTTACACACAGCACTGACACGCACACTTACCCCACCAGATACGCCACCAGGGGTCTTTTCACAGTCCCCAGGTCCAGGACAAATTCAAGGAAACGTACAGTATTATACAGAGCCATGAGTGCATGGAACTCCCTTCCATCTTATATAGCGCAAGTGAACAGCAAACCTGGCTTCGAAAAACATAAAGCAACACCTCACGGCAGAACGTCTCACCCCCATGTGACCTACTTGTTGTTTGTATGTACTGACATGTATGTGTAACGGATAGATGCACACATACCCACACACACACACACTACATGTTCATGTTTTTAAATGTACAGTACCAGTCAAAAGTTTGGACACATCTACTCATTCCAGGGAATGGGGAGAGGTCTGTCCATAATATAAAGAGATTATCTGTATTTTTAACACCACACTCCACAAAGCAAGTCCTGCAGGCTCTAGTTTGATCTTATCTTGATTATTACCTAGTTAAGCTGCAGCTGGACCAGAACAGAGTGGCACGTCTTGCTCTTCATTGTAATCAGATATATTAATACTATACAGTGAGGGAAAAAAGTATTTGATCCCCTGCTGATTTTGTACGTTTGCCCACTGACAAAGAAATGATCAGTCTATAATTTTAATGGTAGGTTTATTTGAACAGTGAGAGACAGAATAACAACAAAAACAACATGTCAAAAATGTTATAAAATGATTTGCATTTTAATGGAGGGAAATAAGTATTTGACCCCCTCTCAATCAGAAAGATTTCTGGCTCCCAGGTGTCTTTTATACAGGTAACGAGCTGAGATTAGGAGCACACTCTTAAAGGGACCAAAGAGCTCTCCAAGGATGTCAGGGACAAGATTGTAGACCTACACAAGGCTGGAATGGGCTACAAGACCATCGCCAAGCAGCTTGGTGAGAAGGTGACAACAATTGGTGCTATTATTTGCAAATGGAAGAAACACAAAATAACTGTCAATCTCCCTCGGCCTGGGGCTCCATGCAAGATCTCACCTCGTGGAGTTGCAATGGTCATGAGAACGGTGAGGAATCAGCCCAGAACTACACGGGAGGATCTTGTCAATGATCTCAAGGCAGCTGGGACCATAGTCACCAAGAAAACAATTGGTAACACACTACGCCGTGAAGGACTGAAATCCTGCAGCGCCCGCAAGGTCCCCCTGCTCAAGAAAGCACATATACATGCCCGTCTGAAGTTTGCCAATGAACATCTGAATCATTCAGAGGAGAACTGGGTGAAAGTGTTGTGGTCAGATGAGAC